GCAAATTGAAAGGATATAAATTGAGAGCACACTTGACCTTACAATTTTTGCAGGTAAAAGAAGCAATTAATGTTTTTGCTTTAGAGCAAAAACGGTAAACGACTTCCTTGATAACACCGTTGGAATTCAAGTTACCTGTTACCTATTGCTAGTGCTTTTATTTGTTAAACTAGCACCTACTTGTCAGTCTGTTGAATAATTTTATTTTATTTAACTTTCGAAATTTTACTTGCTTATTCCTTTTATGAATTTTAATATCTCTATTTATATTAACCCTTGAATCAACAAAATATGTGTCTACTATTCTATCACATATGTACCAAATATCTCAATTAGAAAACAAAACTCTCTTATGCCCTTCTGCCTCGCCTCACAAGGCAGCCCTCAACTCCATCATTTCAACAAATAACATGCTACGCGTTCCCAGCACCATGAAATCTCATGGAACAATAGAGTCTTAAACTGGCCATTTATATAAAATCCTATGTCATTCTCGGAGCCTTGAACTTATTTTCTCAAAGATAAACGTTGAAACGATGAGTCGTCAAGAAACGCATACGCAAGTTGCATAATGATCAAAAGTATCCACTCGGTGAAACGTGAAATCTCATCACCAGAAATCGTGGAAACCGCTTCCTCGTGATATTTCGATTGAAATAACCCCGGGCGACCTCCAGCCGAGAAATATACTTTCTCCTGGGAATGAAACGTTATTAATCTCTTCATCGATCGAAACAAAAGAGAGGAGGCTATTGTTGGCATAGATGTGTTAAATCGCACAGGTGTATACGTGTGTATCCCGCTGACCTTTCGCGAAACCGCTTTGAAGATATTACCGACATTAACTGGAGTATGCGGCGTCAGCTAACTGGATCATTATCGTTCCACCACGCCCTGGAACAGCGTGCCGGGTGTTTTGTAAAACGCAGCTCAGCGTACCGTAACTTGTTCTAAAACGTAATTTCACACTTTGCCTGCATTGGGTACCAAGGTAACGAGTGTGGGAATTCGAGGGTTCCATATCGACACTATTGTAATTTGCATACTTTCTATTGGCATTTCTTCAGGCTATTAACCATAATATTACCAGATATTCTATTTATATAGCGCATCTTATAGATAAAATTAGAAAAGTAAAGGGGTGAATGATTAAGTAGAAGCCGCTGTACCGAGGATCCGTCCGGAGAGTCGGGGACGAATGGTACCTTCGGTACATCAGTATGTTTTCCTTCGTCGCTTTACAATTAATCATACGCCCAATCCTGTGAACAATTATGAATAGAAAACACTAACTAAATTTGATATTTATCCAAGGGTAGATGATCTCATTTATCAAAAGGATCCACTTGAGAATTAAACTCGGATGAAAAGCTGTCGATCTCATGTCCACCTCGTGCGAATTTTATTCTCAAGTAGATACCTACCCTTAGCTATCAAAAGTCAGGAAAATATTAAACATTTATTCATAATATTATAGAAAAAGAAATAATTGGAAAGACAATAACTTCGCTAATTCGACAGGCCCTCGACACTTGGGGCACTAAATTAAACCCGCGAAATTGAAATATAACAGAAATTCACCCTATCGAAGAAAATAACTCTCACTTTATGTTCATCTAAATATAATTCCCCTAGAATCACTTAACCCTCGGACGACGGACCATGGAGAGAACCCCAATTTCAATTTAATTTCATATTTCACACAAAATTACCCAGACTCCGCTGTAGAAGGGTTAAAAATGAAAAGAAATAAACAATACCACTATGTAACATAACATAATAAGTTCCCATACTCGTCAATGAGGTTCGAAATAAAAGCATGAAAAGTGGGACAGATCTTTTGCACGTGTATCAAGGTACAACCGACGGAAGACAAACAGTCACGTTACCTGAAGGGGAGAAGGGAAATGAAGAATAAGAAGAGGGGGTGTAGTGAGAGTAGCCGCAGGAGGCAGGTACCCGAAGAAAGAAGGAATTTTCACACCAATGTCTGAAAAGGAATTGCACCAGGTGAAACACGAGAGCAACGAAGAGGAAGTATAGAAAGGGATAGAGGGGATGCACGAAGGTAGAGAAGGTATGGGGGGGAGTCACACAGAAGGAGAAGGTACCAGAGGTGGGTTAGGTTGGTAGTGGATGGGCATTCGAGGTTTGGGCTGCACGCGTTCCACGGCTAACCAACGATTCACAGAAGACCGGCTACCTTCGATGGAACCGGTTGCTTGTGGTCGATAACCCGACTTCTTCGTGTACTACAGTATCATCGTACACCGAACCGTGTCACCTGAATGGACGACCTCGTAGCAAGTCGAAATCTTCCGTGTTCCCAGTTCAAAGGTGTATCGTTTTGAAAGTGATAAACCGAGAGTGAAAGAAATTTTTAAAGGGTCCAGGAGTTTGAAGAAATTGTGAAAAGATTCTGGCTCCGGAAAGATGAGCGGCCCTAGCGTGGACGTCGTCTGGGACCCACAGACGCAGATGAATTCTTTGGATTGTTGGGATTACTCTATCGAGCTGTCGTGTCTTCAAGGTCCTGAAGGTAGAAGGGACTTTTATACGTTCAGGAAAATTAGGATAGTGATTGAAACTGTGATTGTGGATCTTGTGATGGGCTATATTATCTTCGTTCATTTTAAATAGAATTCCACTTTGTTCTTTTCTTTTTCTATTTGTAATTTTTCTAGTGTGATAATAGGTAAATCTCGTGTAAGTAGAGGAACATATAGGTATTTCACTGGTGGGTATCTAATAGTTATGACCTAATAGTTAACTGTTTGTACGACGAGGACTGCATTTGAAATTAGACTTACATTTTGGAGGTTTTGAGAGTCTTGATTTTCTTGTAGGATAGGTATTGATTATATTATTGATTATAGATTTGGATAAGGAGAAAGTAGATAATGTTGTAAATTATCAATTTTATGTAAATTATAAATTTATATTATGCAGTATATAGATTCAAAATATGGAGAAACGTGGAAATTTTTATTTTCAAAACTTTCCATGTTATCAAATTATTATTTATATGTATTAAGACTTAGTGAGTTTTTCGAAGTATTCAAAATATTGTAAATTGTTTTTTGGACTATGCAATAAAATTAAATTATAAGATCGAAATATGGAGAAATGAGAAAATATTTTCAAAACTTTCATATAATTAACACTTAATGAACCTTTTCATCTTCAGAAATTTCAAAGATTTCTAATAAACATCAAAATAATTTTGTAGTGATTAAACTTCTGAAAAGTTTTAACTTGACTACCATGAACTTTATATTACTATTTTTAACAAATTCTCTGGACAATCCAGTACAAATATAGACAGATGTGAATATTATCAAATTAATGAACTTATCAAAGTCTCCAAAAATTCCCAAAATTATTTATTTTGAATAAATATCATAGTGATTCTATGGTCACTGAATAGATTGGAAATTTATAAACAAAAATATTGAAGAATATGTTACCTGTAATTGATAATTCAAAGATATCATATTTATATACTCGATACGATATCAATATGATTGTTCTACTTTTGATGTACGTTAGGATTCGAACGGTGACTGGTAACGTAAATCCTTATATAATTTCTTACGAGGAAGAGTTGTTTCCTTCGTACCGTGAATTTCATTCGTTGCATTCTTAACCTGCTAACCGGGAAAAAACAAGTTTATCCGTCATTTCAGTGAAAGACAGGTAGAATCTGAATAAAAAATAATCTTCTTGCGATTAAGAGTTGTTATGACATAGATTTTACAAGATTAATAAAATCTTACATGTATGAACATTAATTTCTTCATAATTTAAAATTTCTTCATAGAATCTTTATTTTAAAGTTCTCCCTTAAACAGCGCAACTTGGGTCAGTATGACCCAAACTTACAAAACATGTAAAGAGTTTCATATATTGAAATAATAATTTTTAAAAGAACAGTGTAAGTGTTAACAAATGAAAATAACATAAAATTCAAAATTAAATTAAAATTGGACTCTCTCCAGGGTCCGCCGTCAGAGAATTAAATTGGATAATTTTTGTTTTTAATTTTTTAATGATTATTTCTTATCAGTCTGAAATAAAATTTATCTTGATTTTATTTTGAAATCTCATTGTCTTTTATGCATTCAGGGCAAAGTCGAGTTCGTCCAATTTGATTATGTACATTTTAAAATGCCCGGGTCAACTTTGGTCGATCAACAATGAATAACACGTCATACAAATTATAATAAGTTCGATTTGAATTTTTTTTTTGAATTTATGTAATTTTCCAAGCATTTCAAATTGTTATAATTTAGGAAAAATTTGTAATTTCTGTAATTTTGCCACAATACAAATTTTTACAGTTTCTTTATAACTCTTATCTCTTTACAAGATATTTTAATTATTTATGATTCAATAAGTACTTTACCTATTAGATTAGAAAAATGGTTTATGGTATCTTGAGAAGGAATGAGGATTAGGAATTTTAATGACGGCTGTAATTGGTGTTCAAATGATTTCAAAGAAAATGAATGAATGATTAAACCATTTTTGCCTATTACCATTTAGACTATTAAAATTTTCTAATAACTTTTCTAACAAAATTTCTTGAACTAAAACAGAATTTAACTGGAGACACTGATATAGGTAAATCAGAGTACATATTCATTCCTTGAGATCTCATATCTTTTAAAAATACAATAAATAATAATTTAAAATAAAATCTATACTCTGTAAATAAAATTGACCCATGGTACTGAATGAGATCACTGATTTTTTTTATATTATACCTTGATACTTTTATTAACTCTCACGTAGACAAAAATATGCAATTTCATTTGGAAAAATTTTCTTAGGATTGTGTGCTTCTGTTGACGTCAATTTATACATTTTATTATTCTTTAGAAGAAAGTATTACCTTAAGGCACTGTATATAGTATAAATTAAAAGATGGTGATTTTTAATGTAAAAATAATTGAAAAATATAGAACACTTTTTAATACAGGACTTTATTTTCATTTCAGATTTACAATTGGCCGCTGAACTTGGCAAAACCCTCCTGGAGCGAAATAAGGAATTGGAGAACATCGTCAAAGCACAACAGTCTACGATCGAAGAACAAGCACAAGAAATAGAGGTAATTTAATAATAAATTCAGGCCAGTGGCGCGACCATAATTGTATAATAGAAGAATCAACAACATTTTTTATCATACTTTATTAATTATCCTTGATAACATTAATTTTCTTAATTTTACTTTACTCCCAACATTGGTTTCTGAGATTTTCAAAAATATTTCGCTATTTATTTTAAAAAAAAAAGAAAGGATTTTTAATTTTTTAACAGGAGGATCCAGTGACCTTTTTGATCCTCCACTCTTCTGGTTGCGCTAATGATTTAAATCATCAACATTGCGCTGATGGTTCATAATTTGAATGAAATGTATAATTTTCAGTATATGAAAAAACAAATAGCTGCCCTGAGGGAGGTAAACGATTCACGACTAAAGATTTATGAACAACTTGAGGTCAGCATTCAGAACTTGGAACGAGCGAATCACCGTCTAGTTGTAGAGAAAACGAGCGACAAGAAACTTATTAAAAGGTATGTAAATTAATAATCTGTTCTTAACTTTATTCTAACACCTAAATGATAACTCTTTAAATTTAAGTTTTAATGATTTAACCCTAGATCACTAAACTGTATTAGGTATAAATAGATATCGTCATTTTGACGAGAGATTAGTGATCTAGGGTTAAAAAGTGGACGATTTCGCATGCGATATCGCGTGATCGGATCTTTAGTGACTAACGACATTAAACTGTCCGGAAGCGAAAGTATTGAAAGGAAAATAATATTGTATGTTGTTTAAAAAAGGTTTTTCTCTTATCTTTGTTGACAGCCAATGTTTAACAATTGAAAATTTGGAGGCACGTTGCGAGGAATTTCAGAAGAAAATCGACGAGATAAACGAGCAACATGAAAGTCTACTTCGGCAACAAACAGCGAGCCAATCGACGAACACCGCACAAACACAGACCGCTCTGTGGAAAGCATCGGTCACGCCGGGTGGCAGCATACAACAGGTATTAATATTCATGTGATCTTAGATAAGTTCGATAATTATCGGTTATTCCGTTTAGCCACTAAACTACGAACGATGGAAAATCTCGATTTCATCGAGGAAAAAAAAAAGAAAGAAGTTACGGTTTCACTATGGAATTTCTAGATTCATTCAGCTGGACGATCGAACTAGATCTTGTTTTTTAATTCCTTCAAAACAAAAAACTTACTATCAAACCTATTATTTACTACAACTGCAATTTTTAATTGTAATATGTTCAATGCTATTAGAGCAAAGTAATGAATGCCACTGAAATATTGATGAATACTGAAATATTAAAATAAGGTAATAAGGTGATGCGAAAATATAATAACGACAACGGGTATTTCAATAATTTAACAGTAATCAATCTTTAATTAACATAAAAAAAGGCATTGATACACCTAATATAAGTAAATTATAAGTAAAACAATCTTAAAGATCAAAGAGTGAAAACTACACCGGTGTTATATTAACTTAAATAAAATTGTTTTCCAGAGCGCTGCCCCATCTGGCCAGAAACCTTTCCCAGAAGCGAACACGGACCCCAATGTTCGACAATCCATAACAGGAGGGACGAGCGAAGAAGAGGTGACAGAAATGGTCAGGCAGTTGCAGGAAGCACGAAACCAAATAGCAAGGGAACAAAAGAAAAACACAGAACTGAAACAGCAAGTAGCGTCCCTGACACAAGGATACAGTGCCTTAGAGGAACAATTAAATAATTTACGCAGTACAGAGCAATCTGTGAAGAACCTTCAAGAAGAGATAAACATGCTTGAAGAAGTGAGGTATGCATCCATCAGACCATCAGCATTGTTGTAACTAGGGTTTTGTCTAGGGCCTCTTTAGGCTTTTTTTATAGAAAGATACCTTCCGATATGGGTAGATCTACCACTATAGACTTGAACCTGTTAAAGCTTTATCTGAGATATAATAAATTTTCTAGTTTTATGTACACTTTGGTGTACTTTCGGATATGAGTAGATGTATTTTAAAAAATTATTTTTAATTTAATTAATATTTGTGTAAAATAATACTTGATAGTAGTTAATAGTTTCACGGAAAATTGGAATGTTTATAGGCGGGGTCAACTGTGCGGTCGATGCTTGCGAGGATTAGACAAAACGCACGACGAACTTTCTATAATATTGAACCAAGAAGAATACGACGACATTAGCATCGCAGAGTCGCTAATTAATGACACGCTACGAGAACCCGAGCCGGTTGCACAGGTAATTTATATTTTCAATTTTGAATAAATCTATCTTTCGTCCAGCATGCATGGTATATTTTCTTTTCTCTCTTCTCTAAGTTCGCTTTAAATGGTAGATCTGCTTGCAGAGTGATTTTTTTGTTCCTTGCTGAATATATATGTACATATAGTTTTTGATGAATGTTAAGTCGCTATGTAAGTTTTGTCCTGTAATAATATCTTGAGATAATATTACTTATTGTTAGCATATTGAAGTACGTATCATTAGCTTGTAACTACGTTACTACTTGTTCATTTATCTCATTTTTATAAAAATGTATGGAAAAACAAGGTCACTTATGCAAATTATTTATTTATTTTCCCGATTTAGTTATACAATAGCAATTTAAATACATCACTTGTATAAAGTTGTGTATAAAGATATCTGTGTATAATATTTGTATAATCTTTATTGTAGCTTCATTCTCATTTATTTATTATCATATGTAATTTTTCATTGAAATGATGGCATAAGATAGCCCATTGTTCCTTCTGTTTTCTGTTTTCAACAATTTTGTTGCATACAGTGAGAGATTAATGGACAGAATTTACATAGCGGTTTAGTACAGGGTATTCCATTATAGGTGTACATTTTACACACAAACACAGATTTAAAATGTAAAATAAAATTTTGTGACAACATTTTTTTTACATTGTTTATTTATTGTTGTATGTGGAATCAGAACAAAATATCACAGAATGTCCTGTACAAATCAAACAAAATGTTGCAATGTAGGGTGTATGATGTACAATTTTAGATTGTTGCAGATAAAATGATAGATTCATTCACAGCAATATATTTATATATTTATATATTCAAAAATTTATTACTTAAGCCATAGTTTATTTCTTTTTTTTATAACTACAGATTTAAAATAAAACAAAGTTAAAATGCGTCATTTTGATAAGTTTGATTGTTCCAGTGTGATCATTTCAGCTTCAATTTAATATGGTGCACCTGTTATTTTATGGTACTTTTACATTACCAAATCGTGACAGAGTTTATACAGTTGAAAATCAACCATTTAATATGCAACAACCTAACACATGCCTGTAAGGGTTCTAAGTGATACGAGTTTCCTTTCGAAAGTAATACAATTTTATTTGCTTTAGGAAACACTCACAACAAACGTTAAGCAATCCATGGCAAAAAAAGAGACTAAAGACTTTCGTTCCCTGTTGTGGACAACTTTTACGTCTATATGGAAACTACCTACGTTAATTATTGTTTTCTTTCATACAATATGCTACATAAAGAACGAATGCATTATGCCATTATTATTAAAACCATACCGAATACCGATCTTCGTTTTGAGAAAAATATTACCATTGAAGGATAGCAAAAAATTGCTTTAAAATAATTCATTTAGAATGACCAGATACCATAGTAGTTCTTTAATTAGAATTTCAAAGACATATCGTAGTGAAACGTTCCTTTAGCATTTCATAGAACATAGACATTATATGATACAAAAATGGGAAAGATTCTTAGTATATATTTCTTAATTTTGTTCTTTCATGACGAAGTACTAACTGAAAAACACAATTGTAGATTCATGTTGTTGGAAAGTGCTTCATATTAGTGGCCACTTATTAAAAGTATTGAGGATTTCTTTGAGTAGTTTCAGTATTTGTTGAAAGAGAATCATTTTTAATTAGAGTTGTTTAAATATCAAGGCATGTATTATAGGTACATTATGTTTAAAATAAGCGTAGATACCACTATCATTCTAATGCTATGAATTTGATCACAAATAATTACCGAAGCCGGAATTCTTTAATTATAATATTATAAGTCTATAATATTATGCTATTATAGGACTATATAATAATTACAATATCATAATTTTAATATTTTAATGTGAAATTAGGAGTAATAGATTATCCTAATTATTGTCACAGTATTACAATATTAAAATATTACATTTTTGCAAATAAACATTTACACGCAAATGGTGGGACCTCCTCTTACATTGCCATTTTTTGTAGGAAAGCCTACCATGCTCGATACTGTACCTTTTCACAATTACACCCAATATTTTTTTTCACTTAAGACAATATTTTTTTTACTGTAAACAGTGAAAACTGAAAGACTCATAAATTTAATTATAACGTGTCAAAAAGTAAAAATCCTTAAGATAAATTTCAGGTATTTAGGTTTTGGTGTCTATGCTTATTATAAACAGACTGTACAATCTCTATCCTATAATTTATTCAATTACTACTTTGCGGATTTTATTCTGCTCTTTAATTCTGTTTCATAATTTAGTAGAAAACTGAAGAAGTTAATTATTGAGAAAAATGAAGAAAGTACAGTTAGTGGTTTATTTCGTTAAGACTGGTTAGTAATAAAATGTTGGTTAAAATAAGGTGTAGGTAAAAAAAGAAAGTAAACTTATAACTGAGCACTTACATTTATTTAATTATCATGAGTTTAATATGATAAGCTAACGAGGGTTGAACGACATGGTTTTTATTAATAAAAAAAAGAACAATTTGTATGTATATAATAATAGAGCCGAAAAGAAAAACGAAAGAAAGGTTTAATTTCCAAAGAAACGAAAAGACTGCGTTAAATTAAACGAATTAGGATATAAGTTTTAATTTATTGTGAAAATTTGAAAGATGGAATTTGGTGATGCTGCTTACTTCTTTTTTTCTTTTTTTAGAATTAAGTCTGCCTTCTTATTATGGTTATTTTTTTTCAATGTTGTTCGAGCATGACTGAATATTGTTAGTATATCTAGTCGAAGTATTTGTTAAAATTATGTTGTACAATGTAAGTGCCAGATTTATATGATATTAAATAAAACATATTTTTTCCAACGAACAATCGTTTCTTTTATTTAACGTCCTATAAATCTGGCGTTTCCTTAACCTTACATCCGGTCATCCCTGTTTTTACATTTTTGTATTTAAATTCGAATTTCCATTATTTTGCTAAGTAAATCAGTTGTTAAATAAATTAAATTTAGTGTAACTTTAGTTGCATCACCAACTTCATTCAATTGTTTAGTTTCAAATTATCACAAGGATTATTTTCAAATCATCTCGTAAATTATATTGCCTGAAAATTAAAATGTCAATTATTGTAATTTTTTGTTAATACTTTTTTAAACTAATTGGGCAAATTTTCCATTTTTGTTTTTTATGTAGAATCATCCCTTTTTCGGTTGTATCACTAGTTATCTGATACCCTGTACATTTTTACAAGGTTTAATAAGAAATTTCACCAATCATTGAACGCCTAAACACATCCATAGACCTTGAAAAATTAATTTGTCAAACATCTAGGTAAAAAATACAAACGTGTTTCAGGAGACAATCGAGAAGGAGGTACCAGCCAACGATCTAAGCAACCCTTACAGAGTTCTAGTGGAAAAATACCAAGCGTTACTAGAAGTTCAGAGGCGTTCAGCGCCCCGACGTAAGGACAGCTTACGCACACCATACATGTCCTTGCAAGAAGAACTGGAGATGTCCGGCGAGTTCAACAGTTTTCAGAACTCCACAGCAGAAACAGAATTGCAACAAGAGTCGACGAAATCTGCAGTTGCAAGTGGTACGCGTGCCAAAGCAGAGGGTAAGAAACCGTTTTCCGCTACCCCGACAGATTTCTCCGAAGCGGAAACATTGTCTTCCGGTTTCTCTGACGAGACAAGCAACAAAGCAACCCAAACCGATGGAAGACCCGGCTCGTTCCTTTGCTCAATTGCCGATGGTGAAGATTGCAAATTTAGTATTTACGACGACAATAGTCCGTTCGAAAGCAGATTCCGGAAAACGCCCGAGTATAGGCAAATATTCAGTGAAATATTCAGCGTGCTGAAGAGAGCAGCGGAAGCTAAAGACGAAGGAGAGAAGCTGCCTCTATTAGACGACTTGTCAAGTTCTGTCGTACATCAGTCACAATCGTTTGCGTCGGAAGACGTTCCCAGTGAAACCACGGACGATAATCAGAGTGTGGTTTCATCAGCATTGTCCTCCACCGTATCTGAACCACTTTATAGAGTCCAAACTCCTGTTTCTAACTCAGTCAGCGAACAATCACACAGTAATAACGAAACGTCAACCACTGTATACACAAAGAACGAAAAGATGGTAGGTCAACGTAATTCAAATGTCTGTCGTTTAGATTATATGACGGTTAACATACACATTAAAAAATCAGCTAAGAAACACGCTAACAGAAAATTTACACACAACGAGAAACCGTTGCTACTCGACGGAAGCCCGACGCCCAATCAAAAGTTCGCTCGTCAGAAATTGAATAATAGCGGGAAAAAGAAGTTCCGACCGTTCAGCGTGACCGATCAAAATGGCGGCGCGTGTAACGGGTACACTTACTCGAATCGATCGAAAGAATCGTCGAATACCGGTAGGCAAGCTAATAATTTATGTACACGTAACGGCAATGACCAACACAATAACAGTTTCGAATATAGGAATTACAAACCGAGCACTGCGTCTGAAGAAGTTGCCCGGCTGAAGAGGTTAGAAATGACCTACGCAGAAGTTCTTCAGTTGCCAAAGCTAAAACGAGAAGCCATGGTAAAAGCTAAAAACACAGTCAGGGAATCGGGAAAAACTTTTTCTACGTAACGCGTGGTTGAAGAAATTAAGAACTTTTGAATTTTTGAACTTAACCTCGCTTGACCCATGCGTTATGATACAGTGAGTGTAAAAAGTGTTTGTACAGAGAGTAATTCCAAAGATAATTTTGTATAACTCGGTTTATTAATAAACTTTCTTAAGAAGAACTCAGATGTTCGCATAATATTTGAAAATATTTTGAAAAATCCCATAATCGGCAGAATTATCTGCGTAAAAAGTATTTGTACATAAATCGGTCCAATTTTACTTGAGTTGCCTATTAATGATTAATGGGCGACAGACTAGAGTTCCAATTTTAATTTAAATTTTATACTGAGCCTTTAAAAATCATCTTTCTATTATAATATATGAAATTCTTTCGTCAAGCTATGTTCGAATTAATTTCTAGAATAAAAACACTATCCTATTCACGAGAATTTTATTGCTGACAGTTCTCTAAACGTAGTGAAATTCAACCGCGCATTACTGTATGTATTTTTAATTCTCAGTTTCTCTGCACTGGCATGGAGGTTAATAAACTTAAAGAAATTTATTAATAAAGCGAGTTGTGTAAAGTTTTTTTTGGAATTACTCGATGTACGAATATTTTTTACACTCGCTGTATAAAAAGTTCAAAATTTCTTAATTTTAAACGAACACTTAGACAGAAACATGGTTAAATTATTTCAGATGGTTCAGTATTGGTAATCAATGTTAATTAAACATACTTTGTAAATTGCGGGTAGTGTCTGCGAGGTACTCGACTACAGTGGCTGTCCGATAAGTAGCTGCCTTCAGAATAGGCTATTTAGCGCGGCTACTTATGAAACGGTCACTGTATTAAATTTTTTAATTGTATTGCGCGTAGTGTCTACTAGGTACAGAACTATTAGACATTAATTTTTTTATTGTATTTTGTATGTTAATTGTATATCTTTTTTTCATGTGGATGAGCGTGGGTAACAAAGGTACACAACTTTAATATATATTGTCGGCGATATCTATACGAGATTAACGAGAAAGACAAATCAAGTCGTAAATTTGTTTTCTCTTAGAAGTTGTAGTTGTGATAAAGGAATAAAGTTATTTATGTGCCATTTACTACGTCAAATTATAATTGTTAACTATTCCAAATACTACTTGCTCGATACTTCTCCCTAATAACTAATACCTAATACCTAGATAAACTCAGTGCATGTCATTAATAATACGTATGGTATATTACTTTTTATATTTCATAATCATACACTACAGTATTGTGATCATCTTATACCGAATAAATTAAATTAAATAAACTCCAGAAAGAAATTAAAGAACTATTATTATATTGGTTGTACCCGCTTCATACGGACTTGATATCGTGGGGTGTCAGGGACCCCTTTGCAACATGACATCTGTTTCATATTGGGGTGTTAGGGATCACGATGCATAGGTGGCGCTCTCTGCATATCGTCCTGGCATCGTCTTGTGCATCGTCCTGGCATCGGCTTTCATCCCTACATTCCTTATATCGCTTTCATCGTCCTTTCATCGCTTCATCCCTTACATCCCGGCATTCTTTACATCCCCACATTCCTTTCATCCCTACATTCCTTACATGGCTTCATCCCTTACATCCCTGCATTCTTTACATCCCTACATTCTTTCCATCCCTACATTCCTTTCATCCCTACATTCCTTACATCGCTTCATCCGTTACATCCCTGCATTCTTTACATCCCTACATTCTTTTTATCCCTACATTCTTTCCATCCCTACATTCATTCGATCCCTACATTCTTTTCATCCCTTCATTCTTTGTATCCCTACATTCTCTTCATCCCTACATTCCCCACATCTCTCCATCCCTTATATCTCTGTATCCCTTACATCCCTGCATTCTTCACATATTTGCAACATTTTTATGCAAAATCGTGCAAAGTTTAGTTCCCCTTTTCGCCACCAGAGGGTGCTGATTCAACATCGAAATTTTAGTTCACATTTTTCCCGCTAGAGGGCCAAAAATTGAGCATGATTTAGTTCCTTTTTCCGAAACCAGATGGCGCTGATTCGATACCGAAATTTTAGTTCACATTTTTGCCGCTAGGGGGCGCTATTTTTCGAAATTTTTGGTGAACCCTCGAGAAAATAGCGCCCCTTAGCGGCAAAAATGTGAACTAAAATTTCGATGTCGAATCAGCGCCATCTGGTTTCGGAAAAAGGAACTAAATCATGCTCAAATTTTGGCCCTCTAGCGGGAAAAATTTGAACTAAAATTTCGATGTCGAATCAGCGCCCTCTGGTTTCGGAAAAAGGAACTAAATCATGCTCAAATTTTGGCCCTCTAGCGGGAAAAATTTGAACTAAAATTTCGATGTCGAATCAGCGCCCTCTGGTGGTGAAAAGGGGAACTAAATTTTGCAAAATTTCTGGCGAAAAACTTACCTTTACTTACCTTTACTCGAAGCAGTCTTTGTAATATATTTATTATAAGGTTTGCAGAGGTATAAGGGATGCTGGGATGAAAGGGTTGTATGGATGAAAGCAATGTGGGGATGAAAAGAATGTAGGGATGAAGAGAATGTAGGGATGGAAAGAATGAAGGGATGGAATGAATGTAGGGATGGAAAGAATGTAGGGATGAAAGGAATGTAGGGATGTAAAGAATGCAGGGATGTAAGGGATGAAGCGATGTAAGGAATGTAGGGATGTAAGGGATGAAGAGATGTAAGGATGATAAGAATGTAGGAATTTAAGGGATGAAGAGATGTAAGGAATGTAGGGATGTAAAGTATGTAGTGATGTAAGGGATGAAGCGATGTAAGGGATGTAGGGATGAAAAGAATGTAGGGATGTAAGGGATGAAGCGATGAAAAGAATGTAGGGATGTAAGGGATGAAGATATTTAGAAGTTTAGGGATGAAAAGAATATAGACATGAAACGAATGTAGGGATGAAAGGAATGTAGGAATAAAAAGAATGCAGGAATGTAAGGGATGCTGAAATATAACGGAACGGGGGATGTAAAGGAATTCCGCAGGGGATCGGGGCTGGGGCCCCGGTCTCGACTGCACGCGGCCCGAGGAATGCCGGCATCGGGTGTGGCCCCCGATGTCGGCGGAGTTTGGCACATGGCGAAGGGTCAAAGCACCTCCATACCGCCCTAGTGCAGGCCACCGTGGTGGTTTTAGTGGGTAAAAATCCCACACTACCTTCGGCCCCTCCCCAGGGGGGCTGAAGGTGTCTTTCTGAAGATTTCCACCACGTTAAAAAAAAAAAAAAAAAAATATATTTAAGGGCTGCAGGAATGTAAGGAATGCTGGGATGGAAGGAATGCAGGGATGTAAGGACTACTGAGATAGCCTTGGCCTATAATGAGGGATAAAATTATATAAATAACTGGAAAAAGTAAAATAAATGGAGTCCTCGGCTGAGACTTAGAAGAGGGGTAAAATCATAAATGTTATTCCCCTTCCATGACCTTATTTAATAAGCAAAAAAAAAGAAATGAAGTATACGTCACAAAATCTTTTTATTATTAAAAATTACTAAAATGTTTCGGCTCACATCATGATATAAATAAAATTGCTAATTACAAAAGAATTAATTTGTTACAAATGTTAAAAATAGACACACAATCAATTACACAATCAATTACAAACTATTTACAAACGAAATACACTAAGAAACATTAAAAATAATCATATTTTATAATTCCTTACAGTTAGCTACATGTAGGTTACTAAAATTTTATCGTCGCGGGGTCTGCGGACCCCGAAGCACTGTGGATGCTGCATATTAAAATTATACTGTCTTGGGTTTCTAAGAACCCCGGGCACCGATGATTCTGTATGCCTAAATTATATTGTCTCGGGGTTCTCAAAACCCCAAGCACCGACGAATCTGTATATCTAAATAATATTGTCTCGGGGTTCTCAAGACCCCAAGCACCGACGAATCTGTATATCTAAATAATATTGTCTCGGGGTTCTAAGGACCCCGCGTACCGACGATTCTGTATACCTAAATTGTATTGTCTCGGGGTTCTCAAGACCCCAAGCACCGCGAATCTGTATATCTAAATAATATTGTCTCGGGGTTCTAAGGACCCCGAGTACCGACGATTCTGTATACCTAAATTATCTTGTCTCGGGGTTCTAAAGACCCCAAGCACCGACGATTCTGTATACCTAAATTGTATTGTCTCGGGGTTCTCAAGACCCCAAGCACCGCGAATCTGTATATCTAAATAATATTGTCTCGGGGTTCTAAGGACCCCGAGTACCGACGATTCTGTATACCTAAATAATATCGTCTCGGGGTTCTAAGGACCCCGAGTACCGACGATTCTGTATACCTAAATTATCTTGTCTCGGGGTTCTAAAGACCCCAAGCACCGACGATTCTGTATACCGAAATTATACTGTCTTGGGGTTCTAAGAACCCCAAGCACCAGCGATTCTGTATACCTAAATTATACTGTCTTGGGGTTCTAAGAACCCCGAGCAGCAACGATTCTGTATACCTAAATTATATTGTCTCGGGGTTCTAAAGACCCCAAACACCGACGATTCTGTATACCGAAATTATACTGTCTTGGGGTTCTAAGAACCCCAAGCACCAGCGATTCTGTATACCTAAGTTACACTGTCTTGGGGTTCTAAGAACCCCGAGCACCAACGATTCTGTATACCTAAATTATATTGTCTCGGGGTTCTAAAGACCCCAAACACCGACGATTCTGTATACCGAAATTATACTGTCTTGGGGTTCTAAGAACCCCGAGTACCGACGATTTTGTATACCTAAATTATATTGTCTCGGGGTTCTAAGGACCCCGAATCTCCGATGATTCTGCATACCGACATTATGGCATCTGGGGTGTCAGGGACCCCAAGTAAGTAGCGAAATATAAGACCTAAAAACGAACAAATCGTGAAACTCACTTGTTCGGAATAGTGATGGGTTTGAGCGGAACTAGCGAAATATAAGAACGAAAAACGAACAAATCGTGAAACTCTCTTGTTCAGGATAGTGATGGGTTTGAGCGGATCTAGCGAAATATAAAAACGAAAGACGAACAAATCGTGAAACGTTTGTTCAGGATAGCGATGGATTTGACCGGAAGTAAGAAAATATGTCTCTGCGACACCTTCCCAACGAAGTATAAAGCGTATCTCTAATCCTGGTGGTTCTTAAGTTGAAAAATGACACGGACGGACGTCTTTGCGCTTTATATATATAAGATTCTGAAAAAGCCACATAATCATTTGAATGCAAGAGGCATTCATTTTTAACATTTTTATTGAATACGAAATATTAAAAATTCCTAAGTGCTTATCATTTTATTTCGATATATTAAATGTACAAGAAGCATTTTTGTGCCTGTTGTTTACACATTTAGTTTAAATTCATTTTCTATCGTATTTATTTTCATCAACTGTTGAGGCATACTGAGTTTATACAAATTAAAAATAAAGTAAGTGATATTTTATAGATACAAATTTCGCCCCGAACTTTCTCTACACATTACTTGTCTCTTTAATCTCATGATTTCGTACCTAGTTCCCTTGTATTTACCATCTTTTAGAAATATTTGGAATAAAATTCATTTTTGCCATTATACATGACATTTTTTTGTTAGAATTAAATACATTTATTTAAGAATCATCGAACAATGCGCGATGCACTGCTCCTAAACTTGGTTGTACATAACTTGAACTAACGCTTCTTCTTGATCTACAAAAATGCAGAAAATAAAATTGCTTTTAATTTGTACTTCATGCTCATAATAAAATATACTTAACAATTAGACAAAATTTGGTACTCACTCTGTAAGGGACCTTACTGCAGGCCCTGTTGGATTATTTTTTGGTCGTGGATTTACAAGAAGACATTTCATTGGGTGACCATCTAATTGTCTGTTATGATAAGTTTCAACGGCTTTTGTAGCATCCTTTAATGTTTTATAAATTACTTCTGCTGTTCCAGGCCGCACTAATCTGGACACTAATAATTCTCCTACATCTTCAAATAACTCCTACAACAGAAAGCATTAAGATTCATATTTATATCAAATACACTCAATAATTTGATAACCATACCTTTATATCTTCTTGTGTAACGTTTGCTTGTAAATTGGATACTACAATTCGATAACCAGTTGATTGCGATGACGACGAACTGGAACTAGTTTTTGAACGAGATAAAACACCCATGATTCGTGATTTATTTGGAACTGAATCTAATCGTGATTTTACACCAACATCTCTATGACTTCGTGAATCATAATACTTTGGATCCACTGGATCTTCTGCTAATATAGTTCTGAAAAATAATATTATTAATATAACTAACAAGTCGAATATTATACAATATAATAATGAAAAGAACATACCGTGATTTTGTGCCAAAAGTCCAATCTTCTTTGTACGAAGGAGAAGGAGGTTTTGTCTGAAATATTAATCATAATTAATCACTGAAAATAAGAAGAGAATTGGTCACTAATGATCGAAAGATTGATATGACCTTAAATAGATATAATTAAAAAGAAGAAGGTTTTGATACAATTAATATAAATTACTTACAGGCATATTTACCATCGAAGAACGAGCAATAACTTTGTAATCCCTTGCTCTATCATGTTCCCTCTCAACTTCAGGCTTACGCGAAGGTACAATTCTTGTTATATTGCTACTTGTTGGTTTTACCCATGTGTATGAAGATGCAGGTTTAATACTGAACACAGGAGGTGGCGGAGGTGGTGTAGGAGCGTATTCGTTACTTACAGTTCTTCTTAAAGGTGCAGTTTCCATCATATAATCTGAAATACATAAATACATGAAATAATTTTATGAACCGATACATTAGAAAAAATAAATCGATTCTTTTAATACCATCATTGTAATCGATGTTCATGTCTCCCATATAATGAGATTCTGCAAGCGCAGGTGGTCTATAACCCACTGTCCTTGTGGGTGGCGGCATGTAATTGTTTGGAATATTCTGTGGCATTGCAGGTGGCATGATTGAGGGTATTTTATTCGTCGACAAAGATAATCGTCCATTGCGACCTGCTTTTCGTGAAATTCCAGGTATCTGTGTTTCTATTTTTTTTAATTGAGATGCACGAATCTTATCTAATTTCAATCTAGCATCAGTCTGTTTGGCAATTTCAGCAAGTTTGTCTCTTGCATCCGTAAGCTTCTCCCGATTCTTTTGTATGATTTTAAATCGTGCATCTGTGATTACTTTTGACCCACGTCCTCTTAACGAACCATTAGCACGTGCACCCCTAGTAATTCCTCTCCGAACACTGTGTAAAGAAGGTATAAAAGAAGATGATTAATTTCACATAAATAATAATTAAACACCCTAGTTTATTTCTAAAAAATAAATGTATACCTATTGCAATTTTATACTGCAATATTATTATTAACACATATTAGGGTTAGACAGTAGTAAACAAATATCAATCAAATTGTAATGGTTTATTATAAATGAAATCTATAATGTACTTTCGAAATAAAAGAACAGAAAAAGTATGTAGGTAATAAGAAATGCTTATTTCAGTGTTCAGAAAACATCTGTAAGAAAAAAACGCATACTTTTAAAATACACATGACAATACTATATGGTTGAAGTAAGTTTTCAAATTAAAAAAATTCTTTCGACCAATTGTAGTTTATGAAAAAGTATGAGATCTGTGTAAGAATAAAGCAATTTGGAAAGAAATATTATTAGTGGAAGAGAAAATTGTTAAATATACTGTCAGACAATATCGGAAAGCAGAGTTCTTTTTTCATAACCGTAAGCTTATTTCTTTAAGGTTATAAGGAAATCGATAATACCGTAATCGCTAAAGAATCAATTTTACTACTGATTTCTTAAATTTGCCTCACCCTCCACCTCTGCTTCTCATTCCTGATGATTTCGATTTTTTAATTATGTCATCTAAACTTAAGCCCGCATCAGCCATACCGTAACAATCCAACAATGACTACAGATCCAACAAGACTAGACATGCCTTTGTTTTCGAGGGGTTTTGAATTTGTGTCTTGCGAACGAACGCCATCTGCTCCATCCTAGTATAAATGAGAAATACTTCGCACTGCAACAGTCTAACGTACTCCAATGGTAACAGCAGATTGCTGATTAATAATACATAACAATTTTACTGATAATATTCATAGAACTAATTTTTTTATAAACTTGGACGTACTTAGTTTATATTAAACTATGTCTGAATGAACTTCCGTGCAACTATAATCTATAAAAAAATAGAAATAAAAAAATGTAACAACCATACCTGGTCTCCCCTACGTTTGAAATTTACGACCTCAACGAAGGAAAAGAATCCGCGTGGGTGATCGCGACGAGGCAACGAAACACGAAATTGCCATGGTAACAAATAGGATATGACTAACTTCAGAAAGCATAGTAATTTCATTAACCTCTTCCCTTACTTATTTTTATTTAAACATACACATCAATTTTCAGGATGGTTATATTACACGACGAAGAATATTACAGAAGTAGAGTACCTCAACCCGATTTAGGAGCGCTGAAAAATTTTCTACGATTTGTTTGGAACAAAGAACAAAAAACCTTATTTGATAGAACAGCCAAAGAATGGGGTAATTTTAATATTTAATTTATCAAACAATATTTAATATTACTTTTACACGTTGGAATTAAAAAGGCCATAGATCTACGCTCTGTGAAATGAACTGCAAATTCTGACCACGTAGATCTACCCCCTTTTGCAGTCTCAAGCATCCATGAACAGTAGACTTTGAAACATCGAGCCGGGCTAAATATATTAATTATGTTATGCTAAATAAATGTTACAAACATTGAAGAAAATTAGGGAGAAGTTAAAAATTCATGAAATAAATATGAAATTTAAGCTTTGTCCACAGATGCGTTATATCAACTTAACCTCATCCGATTTCGTTTTGCTACCTTGAAATTTATTCCCCGAAACTATGTTAACGCGAAACACGTGTTTCAAATTCAGGTCAATTGGGAATATTTTACTTGGCTTTCTTTACTGTTCTGGGATCAATCTTCGCGATACAAATGAAGATCAGTATTGATTATATTACCAAATTGAAACAACCGTTATTTAAAAACCCCAGCGTCTCTTCAAGGTCCATAGAAAAGAGATTCGCTATTTTCCGTCCTCTTTGGCAATTCGAGAATCCAGGTGTGTAAGGAAATAAATGGAAAATAAAAGTTTGTTTGTTTGTTAGATTTTAATATTAAATCATTTATTAAGTAAAATTGCTCTAAAGGAATAGTTTTCAAACCAAACAGCGTGTCGAGTACATCACCTCTAATTTTGGTAGACAGTGCGAATGTTAACAGCCGACCGAAGCGGTATGTTCAAGCGTTGGATGACTTTTTTCAAGGTATTCAACAGGTATCCCTTACAAGTATGCAAAAATTTTCATCGTTTTCAAGGCAATCTTTGAAAGTACCTGATAGAACATTTTCAATTAAAATATTTTGCCATTTACCAATCAAACGATGCAAACATGAATTGAATTATTAATAAGATAATAATTATAATTATTAGATTTTTGTATATCAAATGGAGATCACTATTTATATGTATACTATTTATTTTAGAGTACAGTAAAAATATGTCAAATTATAACTTGAATTGTCAAGAGGGTAAAGCGAATTATTTCGAGAAACCTTGTTTTTTTGATATAAAAAAATTAGGATCATGCAGTAAATCCCCATATGGATACACAGAACCTATGCAACCGTGTGTCTTAATTAAATTCAATAAGGTAATACCAAACTGTATTTTTAATTTACCATTAGTATACTACCGAGATTTATGGAAATACAGTAGTCCTTATCTTATTAATTAAATATAATTTTTTCTATTTTTACTTACTTCCCATAACGTCTTCTGAAATTCTCGAAAATTTAGTAAAACAAAATTAATTTTTTAATAAAAAGGATCAGCGACCCTTTTGAGGGTCAACAATTTAACATCGAGCTGATCAATTTATGTTGTAGAGGTTCGATTGGATACCTGAGTGTTATAATAGATCTTCGAATTTACCTGAGACTATGCCGGATGGTTTGAAAAAAATGGTGCAAGAATCTGATAAGGTTAATTCTTAATAATTGCTAATGAGATGTACTAGATGGAAGACTCAGAAGTAGGCCTCTGGTAAAAGGGGTCCGGGGCCCCCTTGGACCTTCCCTTAATCTGAATATTACCTAATATTTCCAGTTACACATATGGTTATCGTGCGATGGACTAAATAATGTCGATAAAGAGCACATGGGAGAAATAGAATATAATCCAAAACCTGGATTTCCAGTCGAATTCTTTCCATTTACCGGACAGCCTGATTATTTATCTCCGGTCGTGGCGCTACAATTCAAGAACTTAACACGTAATTGTTAAATTCTATTCCCAACATAGTTTACATAAAAATAAATGTTATTCCTGATAATTATTACAGCAAATCGGTTGGTAACGATCGACTGTAATTTGTGGGCTTCCAATATTAGACGCCAGTCTGGTTGTTCGTTAGATTTTCAAATAATAATAGGTAAGATGAATTTTTGCAATTATTCAGTTTTTGACATAAGGTGGATGTGCACAATTTCGCCATGTCCATGTATAGAACGTTCTACGTAACTAAGGGGCGGAGTAAAAAGTAAAGAATAAAACTTTTGTATTTTTAATAACACTGGAATATTTTCAAAAATTTCGGGAATAAATACAAATGAAAAAAATTAAATTTTAAATTAAATTAAATTAAACACGTATTATTAAAATGCTAATAAAGTAAAGAAATTTTTGATTCTCAATAATGGGAGTTTGTAGCGACTGTTGATTAATTAGGATTCAAATTTCTACTGTCCCACTGGTTCAGAACTTTCCCAAACTCCCGATGTCAGTTCTTGTTTATAGAATTCGAAAAGACTGACGGAATTGTGCACACCACTTTTATAATTTTTACTAACAAAGTTTTTGTTATGTAGCAAATTAATTGACACACCCATAAAACGGAATAAAATCTGGTTTAAAGAAAGAAATCTTGTTTAAGAAGCAAGCAGCGGTATAATCCATTTCAATAACCAAAGAAAAATGATCTTAATAATGTAATACTTTTCTTACTTACTAAAGCAAGTTACTTATAACTTCAAGCTGTTTAATTTTGTTTGTCGTCATGTACAGTACCGAGCATGATAGACTTCCTCAGGAAAAACTTTCCTTACATTCCTGCATTCCTTATATGAAGAGGGATAAAATAATAAATGACTTGGGGGGGTGGTCCACGCGAGGCCCGAAAATAGGGGTAAAATAATAAATAAAAGGATAAAATAATAGGATAATAATAGCGCAAGGGTCAAAGTTTCCATAAGATAAAACGGATCCTGCGCAACAAATTTTCTAACAAATCAAATTAATGCATTTTTAGAACAATACGGAGATTCTGTACCAAGTAATGATGCGGGAAAATTACACATATGCCGTTTATGTGTACATGATAAAAAACATGCGAAAAGGTATAGCCTTCGATATTTTCGAGTTTATATAACTGACGCGAATAACGCATAAAATGTACGGATTGACGTTGGTATCACTTTATGATCTATTACTATTTATTATACGTTAATCCAGTAAACAAAGTGCGAAAGAAATAATGAAATTATAATTTTTAGCTACAAAGGAAACTAATGTTAAAATCACAAAATTTTGGGTTAAAAATATAAAAATGCCATCTGTGTTTGTTTTCTATATACGAAGCAGTTGTAAATAATTGATCACCACTATATATTACTTATATTCATTAATCGAAGAAGTCAGTGTGGTACAATTTAAATGACCAAACAACACAAGAAACACTTCCTGTTTACATTCATCATCCGCTACGATTTCATCCTAATCAGATTCAAAAAGCGGCTGGTCAAGCCGCGACCTCTTCGTTAGCATGTTCCCACTACTCGTATGGTAGACGCATCAGCTAGGATCGCGGCTATCTCTCTTTGCTTTTGCTCAACGATCAAGCAGTAAGCCGTTTCAGCTCGAGCGGAGTGCGAGTTCGCCGAGCAAGAACGGGAGCCGGGTTTCGAAGAGAGAGCAAAACTGGCTTGACACGCGTGTTAAGGAGCGTCGAGAAAGCTCGATTAACGTATAAACCGCGTCCCGTGGAAATCGTTTAACAGTGTTTTTCGCGATGAGTGTACCTGGCAAGCAAAACCAGAACAATACGTACGAATTTAATCGTATACCAGAATACAAGACACGATGGAGGACCGTTCGTGATTTTATCCACGACCCGGCCGAGGGCACCTATTGCGGTCACACAGGAAAAAGATGGGGTAATTTCTATAATTTATCATTCATTAATTGGAACGACATTGCGGTATTTATTTATTTCTTTACTTCGTGAGTGATTAATCTCTCAGTGCCACTTTAGAGAAATTTCCTTTGACAATGTTCATTCATTTTATAAAGTAAGGAAAGTATTTTTATTAACCATTTTGGAATCTTTGAAGACAGTGTGGTAGGAGTAAACGGAGGTTAAATGTTTGAAATATAAAGAAATGTGATAATGAGATTTGCAAGTACTTTACTTTTTTGTAATTTGATTATTCTTTTCTTTTCTTATTTGAAAAGTGTAAGCAACAAAGTTATTAATGTTACTAAACACGTGGGCTGATCGTTCTGATTACAATTTACATCCTTCTAAAACATTCCGACTATATTATATTTACTATATTTTCTTTTTGTTAAATTAAAAATGTGTCTTCGGTGAATACCATGGTTCACCGGTGCCCCGTGCAGCACTTGGTTACTGTGATTACCTATAAAATTTCAAGAGTCTATTATTTTTAAACGCGTGGGCGGGTTGCTCTGACGTGAATATGCGCGCGAAATTTGAAATCAATCTAAGAACAATTGAATTCTAATGTTTAGTAATAGAAAATTTGGATTATACTCTATTTTCTTTTTACTAAATTAAATATCGTGAGTCACTGATAGCCACCCTGATTACTGTAATGATTAACAAAATATTGAGCTCATTATTTTTTAAATCTGTCAAAATAAATTAAGAAATAATTAAGATGTTTCGTTTCTTATTGTAAAATTAAATACATATTCAATACCGATACTATTAGCGTTAATCAAGCAATTTGTTCATAAAATTAACATTAATATAAATAAGTAAAGAATACAAATACATGTTTGTGTTATGGCTAACGTAAATCGCAAGATGACCCTGAAAGATCTTATGCTTTGGCAACGAGAGAATGAAAAGAGCACCGGAAATAAGTATCCGCGACGATAAGCAACGCTTGAGAAGAAACGATAGGATCCACTAGAATTACTCTTGTATAGAATAATTGAAAGACAACTGAAAGACGCAATCCGTTTCTCTGCTAGCGGTTATAAATGTTATCAGTGGCATTGAAATCGACGAGCGCTTTATTTGATTGACGATAAGAAATTAGGAATTAGATTAATCATGTTATACGTTAGCGTCAGAGTCGGTGTATTTACGAATAACGAATAGTATATAGAGTAGATATAGTACACTGGCGACCAAATCATACATTCCTAGGAAAAGTGGCGATATCACGGGTTCTCGCCTTTCCCCGGAGGTGTCATAAAAGAAAAATGGCAATGTACAGAAGTATTTTTATACTACTGTACGCTTTTATAAATAAAGTACATTTAACTTTATACAGATTTATACAGAACTAATATTTTTTTTTAATTATACAATATTAAACACTATGGTTTATATAACCCATTTGGCCCTGAATATAATCCAGTAAATAATGTTTCCAAAATATTCTGAGTACCTTTTCAAAATTTATTCAAGAAACAAATTATATTTTGTATCAAAATATTGTCACATAAATAAAGTATTTGGATAAGGGTTAATGTTTTAAACAGGTAATAAAGATTAACACATTAGAATTTGGGAGATACTAAATAATTAGCTATGGTCAAATGAGATGGATATTATAGATAATAAAGTATTTATAATATCTCTAGGAACCTAGAACTCTGATCGCGCGATCACCGGTGACCGGCGCCTCAGATTTTAAGTAATTGAATTACAGTAGACTCTCGTTATATTGCCACCAAAGGGACTGTGACGTTGTTTAATAGATAGCTTTATTTGTGGCTCTTGAATAAAACAATAAAAAAATTGGTCATGAATGAAAATATTTACCTTATGCAGTTTGGGAAATTTTACTAATCTGATAAACCTCATGATATGTCTAGTTTTCATGGATGATGATCCATTTTCTCAAATATACAAGGTAGTCATTTTAGAAAAATTTTGTATACTCCACATAATCAGGTACTTCATAGAATTTAATTTAAAAAGAGAATCAGGTCAATAGTTGTTACGGTTTTCGAGATAATACTTTGTAACACCTTATTTGACCCACCCTGTATAATATAGATTGGTTTTTGACGCAGTACACCAGTTGCATACAAATTGGTTCGCTTTATCGTTCTTTGAAATATTTCTTGCGTAACGAGGTGGAGATAAGAATCTTTTATTTTTCTTACAATTATCACTTAGTGACTGTAATCAAGGTTTATCTGAAAAAGATATTAGACCAGGATAATTCCAATTGGATACTACTGTTCATTATCTCGATATAATCTTAAAAGCAGGAACAATTTTTCGAAAATTTATAAAAAGCGTCACTGCGTTATAATTGGATTAAAGTACCTTCTTCAGATTATGTAATTATGAAATTTCGATACAGATCCGGCATTTTCGATACCGGATGAGATACAGAATACTTTATAGGTCAAAAAACAAAATTGATATTCCATATTACTACACCTCTTCTACCTTATGTGGTAGGATTACGCAAGAGAATAATGGTGAAACACCTGTCGAAAATGTATTACAATGCCACGTGGTCCATAGATAATCTAATGTAATAATTATACTATGTATGATAATTATGTAACAATTAAATGATATTACGAAATGCTTCATGATACTTTTCTTACATAGAAAGTTTAAATATAACTTGAGCAGAATGTCCAGTACGAAAATAAAAAGAATAACAAGATAAAAAGTAAAAATTTATGTTTTGTTATCATCAATCATTTCTTAACCCTTGAACAGCGAAATCTGGATCAATCGAGACCCAAACTTACACAATATATACAAGGACATTAATCTAAAGTTGAATGTATAGTTTTTAAACGAAAGAGTTCCATACATTTTTAATATATACAATTTAAAAAATGAAAATAATATGAAACAGAATTAAATTAAAATTGGAACTTTCTCCATGGTCCGCCGTCCGAAGGTTAATCTTGGAATATTACATTTCATTCTCATAAATTTTTGTTTTATTTAATATTCTAAATTATATTTATATCTATAAATTTTATTATGACCTAAGTTCAACGGTTCATTCCATTAAAGATAAAAATTAATTAAAATAACTGAGACCATCAATTTTAAAACAGCACAAGTCCAATTTTAATCTGATAACATTTAAAATAGCAAAAGAGCTTTCTTTTTAATCATTAGTTGATCCATTTGTACTGTTCTAGAATTCATAGCTTGAATTATTATAAAAATAATTTTAGCGTTTTAATAATAAACTTTCGACGAATTATTTCAATTTCAAGATGTAATAATTTAGGAACTATGTCTGGCAGCAGTGAATTTAACGTTAGCCGGTAAAGACCTCAGTAAATTTTCCTATATCTGTTGCACGTCATATTTTATCAGAAATGAATTCTCTTTATGAGTAACATGATTTTATATCTTTAAATTGGGTAATGATCTCTTATCAGTAATACACCTAAAAGTTCTCGTAACTTGTGTATTATATTATTTAAAATTTGTCAAGTATATTATATGTGTCACTTGGAAATTGTTTATAGGAAATTTATTATAAGACTTCATATACTTATGTTTTTGTCACAAACTTTGTTTGGAATTAATTAACTCTAATAACAGAAAATAATTAAAAAAAGAAAATTACCGAAGATTCCAGGTAACATTAATATTGTATTAGTTTCGTAATATACAATCGCAATCAAATTCGAATTTTCCGAGAAAGAAAGTGGTGTTCCGGGTTACCACCCTTCCCCTTAGGCGTTCCCGAGGAGAATGACAATATAGGAGAGGAGACCCCACGTTATCGTCAAATAATAATAAACATTGTCAAATCCTGATTTGATCACAAGTGTGTCACATGGAAAGTTTAAATTGAAAAAGGAAATGATCCTAATTTCAATAATTAAAATTATAGCATTACAATATTTAATATCTTCAATATAACAACTGAATTCATTTTTTAAATATTTCTTTTAATGGAAAACAAGTTCAGCAGGATACTAGAAAAATTCATTTGTTCCTTTTTTTCTAATTGTTAAAAACACTCGTCTTACTACATAAAAAACAGGTTCTGAAGATCGAAAATGATTAATAAAAAGACAAAATAATGTTAAACTTATGTTGGAGTTCGTAGATAATGTAAAAAGCAGTTGTACGAGGAAACCGGTCTTTTAAACGTGTATTTCCTGGTTGTATCGTTCCTCAAATGGAGGATGAGAATTTTTACGTTAGGTTGCTAACGAAGTGTGCATGCAAATTAACTGGAGGTTTCACGGTAATTTCAGCTATTAAAGTAATTTCCTATTTCGTTTTTTTTTTCATTTGTTTCATAAATTCAATGTACCATATATCAAGTAGAGACGAGAAGTGACACTGAAACCTCGTGTGACTTTGCTTACGTGTTTATAAAATGAACTGCACTCGTTTGAAACATAATTCTATCCATTTTCATCTTTCCCACTTCGTGTTTAACATGTATTTTTTATAGTTTTTAACAGAATTAAATTGACACTTGAATTGGAATTTAAAAAATGATTTCAGTATTTTAATTTTTTTTGCTTGCAATTTGTTTAAAATTTTTAATTGTTCCATTACAATCGTTCCAAACTTAATATTTGTAAGAAAATAAATTGTTATTTAAACTACAAATGGTTTTTATTGATGAGAAAGGAATTAGAAGAATTGCTAAATTTTTTGCATTCGTGACGTCGATTGTAACGTATGATTGATCGAAGCAGTTACACCTACTAATTAGGCTCTTGTAAAACTAGGGGGTCGATGTGTGCGTAGTACCCCTCTTGTCCCTATGCTGCCCCGTGAGACTTCTTATGATCGACAGTACAATAATATACAATAAATAAACATATTAAATTATGACACTGAAGAACTAACGGTAATGTAATACACAGAACTGCACTGCTGACTATGCACAGAAAGCGTACTGATATCTATACCGCAGTTCACCAGAGTCCATAACTGCGACACGCAGGTTGGAAGATGGTGGGGGAACGCAGCGAGCTCTCCGCTAATCGCTTTCCACTTCGTGTGGGAGTACCGCCAATCAGGGCGAAGATGCGCACGCAAGAACGAAAACTGGTCTTTTCACAGTTATGGACTCTGGTGAACTGCGGTATAAAAGTAAAGACTCCATTTGTCAATAGTCAATAGTTAGATGATGTACGTCTAATTTTAAGACACAAAGAAACGTTGTTTCTGATATTTATCTTTAATTTTCCTTAAACCGTGCAATAAGAAACATAGACTCATTACCAGATACCAAAAACATAACAATTTAGTGACGTATACTTCTCATAAGTAAAAATAGCACTAACGACTTTCTGTATGGTAATTCAAAGATTAAGTACTGTTAAAGTGTCATTTTCCTATCACTTACTAGCTTTTTTTAAATTCTATTTATCTTCTAAAGTGACACATAATCTACATAAACAAGTAACTGACTAAAACTAACATATATAAATAGGATAGAAGTATTTTGTATCCTATTAGAGTGATTTCAATTAATTTGTTTATTACAACATATAATAAATTATTAACACGGTTTATTAATTTTTTTTAAACTAAATTGAGTTTGGAAACTTCGTATTAAAATAGAATGAAGAAGTATCAAGAACTGACAGAGTTTACCCCATAAGCCAGTGGTTTTCATTCTAAGATCCTACGATGCTAAGATCCTAAAATTCAAAAATCCTAAAATTTCAAAACATGAAAAGCAAATACTTTGATCAGAACGACGATATTGTTTATTTTATATTGATAGATGTATTGGAAAAAAAAATATTACGGAAACTTATTTAGTATTTTGTCACTTATAATATTTATAGATTCATGCAATTATTGGAACTACGATGGTTTATAAGATAATATCTTTTAAGAGAAATCATAGTTGTATCACATTTACTGTGTTACAGCATTAGAAGATATTAGAAGCATTAATATCAATAAAGTGCGACAGAAGTTACTTCCGCTCTAATAAATATCACTCCTCATTCCCCCCATCTTTGTATTCTCTCAGTTTTATCCTCCTACTCTCTTTCTGCTTAAGGAAAATCTGATGGAAATAAAAGTCACAAATGTCACTCTCAAGGCTGACAACCCTTCTCATTTGCATCAAATGTCATAGTTATCATCGTACATAAGACATTACTATGGTTGAAAGATGAATCGTGTTATGGACTTTTTAAGCCCAATATTGGGCGAATAAAGTATGTCGCAAAATATAAATGACAAAGCAAGGCAGTATCAACTATACTGACTATATTGTTTCCTTTTAATTGTTTAAGTGTATCTAATTTAAGGTGTTGGTTACCAGTAACCCACACTACATTCAACATGTTATTAACTTATTGTTACATTTCTTAAGTTACATTACAACAGTCCTGACACTTCTTTACTCATCCTCACCCTAAAGTTTTATTTTTTTATAGAATTTTCAAAATCTTCAGTCTATATTGGAAATCTGTACGTCTAACAAAAGTGAATCGCAGTGAAAACATAGTAGCGAGTGGCCATCATAGCGTACGCTACTCTTGAAAAGGCTACTATATTTAGATCGGACTTTGGCACGGTGCCCATACTTTAAATATTTTCCGTTCAATCGTCGAAACGGTGAAAACTTTCGAGGCCATTCGCTTTTACGATTTGCCTACGCGAATTAAAAACGTTTGACGTAGAACGATATGCTAAAATTATTTTAAACAGTTTTAGCATATCGATAAAGAGCAACTCAAATACATTCTGTACATATACTTACTTTTCAAATTTAATTCTTAACATGCCAAGATATAAAGTACGAACATCATATAAATTTTCCAAAGGTTTTTAATTTTTCTACAAAAATCATTTTAACTAATTATTTTGAAAATCTATTTTCATTTACTAGAATTAATAGAAATATATTATTTTGAATGATATTACTACCAATGTACATTTACGATCAACGAGCTTCAAAAAAATAATAATAATAACACTTGTTAACTCTGGTAAATAATAAACCCCGGTAGGTTTTCACGGGTTTTCAGGTTCCGCGGTTTCTAACCCTTCCCGTATGTCTCCCCTTTCGGGGACCTCCCTTAACCGAACTCCCATCCGTCCCCTGAGACGGTCCCGAGAAAAGTGACAATGCATCGGAAGAGATCCCATACATATAGTCTGTGGTCCCCCACCACTTGCGTATAGACGTTGACGCGGGAAAATTTGAATTAATATTTAATTGCTATACACTAAATTTTATAATTTGTAATTAAAAATTATATTATTCTTTTTTCTAACCTACTTTTAATATTAATATCCTATTTTGAGAATCACTATTTTCCGTAGGAAATCCTGATTTGATCGCAAATGTGCAAAAGATAAATATGAAGCTTGAGATTTTTAATTTTTAGATTAAATACTCCCATTCTTAACAATTTTTGTTTTTAATAATTCCAAGAATCTTTATAATTTGTCCAGAATTCTTAATAATTAGTCTCAGTAATATGTCTCAAATAAACATCTATTGGTACTACGGTGGTCAACGTGTTAAATAAATATTCTAACAGTATAAATATGTATTCATTGAAATTCATTTGTTAATTTATCCTTTTTTTTATTTCATTTTCAGCCATCACTGGAATTTTTTACACGTGTTTCTTCAGTGGATTGGCCTTGCTCTGCGCCATTTGTATGAAAGGATTAATGGCTACTATAGATTATGAAAAACCAAGGTGGATCTTGGAGGAAAGTCTAATAGGAACTAATCCAGGTATACCCATAGATTATATTTGTTATACTTAAACAAAAAAAAATTGTTAAATAGAAATAAAATTAACATAGGAAATATTTAATGTTCTATAGCTCTAGTTGAAAAAATATTTTAATTGTATTAAAGAAAAAGGGTGATATTATGGCCTTCTATTGCTAATTTGTCTCCCTTGGCGATTTTATATTATAAAAAAACCCTCTTACGATCAAATTCAGCTAAATTGTTTTCTTTTTACTTTCATTTTTTATCACAGATAAGCTTAAAATTTACAAACAGATGAAACATATTTGGTAACAGGACAAATCGTTTTGAAATTTTTAATCGTTCTCACCACACATAACATAAAGTGGTTGCTTCTCAAAGTGCTCTGTAGATCGCACTAAAAAAATTTAAGAGTGAAAAAATTCAAGAGTTAAAAATACTTGAATATGAACAGTGTATGAAAATAGCATCTGACGTATTGCTTACGGAAAAACATGAATGTTATATTTCATCGATTCGTTCACTGTTCATTTTCATCGACACATCCTTCAAAATATTTTAAAGAATCAATCTAAACAAAAGTACACAGAAATCTATACAGGGTGATCCTCACGCTAGGGGACACAAAAGAACTGGCGACAATGAATCCCTTGACCGCACCATGAAGACACACAGAGTCGTCTCGGCCCGGGTAGGTCCCCGCTGACACGTGATAATACGGACCTCTTTATGGTGTGGTCAAGGGATCCATTGTCGCCAGTGTTCCTTTGTGTCCCCTAGCGTGAGGATCACCCTGTATAACACATATGTTTCCCATTTATTAATTTATAAAAAGAAAGCATTAGAAATGAATTGTCACGTGTAAGACTAACTTTGCGTAAACAATGTGAAATTTCCTTTCGAATTTGTATTTCTATTTTAAAAAATGTTTAATATTAAACATTACGAAATAGAATATAATGTAGTAAAGATTCTGATAAAATAATAAAGTAAAAAACAACATAAATAACCTAATTTACCTAGAAATGCTAGAGAAATATGTTTGTCTAATAACGAAATATCTAACAGGTCTAGGATTTCGACCAATCTCCAACAACACTGACGAAAGATCATTAATTTGGTATAGTTCGTCGGATCCTAATTCGGTGCAAAAGTGGACTCGTCTAATAGATACATTTCTAACAGGTAGATAATACATGATAATGTATTTATATATAATTCTGTACAGTAAATTTAGAATTTAAAATGATTGCAATTCCAATAATAACAAAAATAACTATTTTAAAATGCAATTATGATAATTAATGATAGTAGGTTCTGAAACAATTTCAATAAGTAAAAATAATATTATGTACGTATATCCCATACTCTTATTTATCCTTAGAATTAAGGGTAACTACTGGAAATAAAATAATTCTGGAATTGCAATTACAATAATTGTAAGAATTTAGAAAAATATAGAAGTGGGTGTGCAATAATTATTCTTTTCTACATGGATATCCTCTATTTTATGCAGAATACCAAAATTCGTCGCTATTACCGAATGGCGGTAGAAATCAACAGATTTGCAATTATGACACACCAGTTAAGCCTGGACACGTTTGCGCGGTCGAAGTGAACAACTGGGGGCCTTGTTCGCCTGCTCAACAATACGGTTTTAATAATTCAGCTCCTTGCATTTTCATCAAATTAAATAGGGTACATATACTTAATACACAAATAAATAATAAAAATGATATTCATAAAAATACTTCATAATTACACTTATTAGTGTTAGAATAAAATAACTGAAAAAATATCATTTATATCCCTTCACTTCTAAATGCCTCAATTTAAAATTAATTTTAGTTTGATACAATCTAATGTTATTATTTAACTAATTCTGTTATTAAATATAATAATGCTAGAATCATAATCATAATTTAATAAAGATAAATAGAAATTACACTATGAGTACTAACTATGCAATGTAACCGACGACGCACAGGGTGCGTCATAATGTCTATGCAGTGCGCTCTATGACGCATCATGTGCGTCATGTATCCTCGGTTAATGCGTGGAGGAAATTATAGCGTAAATTGATTTATGTATATTTTATTTACAGATATACGGTTGGTTACCTGAATATTATAATGATACCGAAAATTTACCACATGAGATGCCACAGTCGTTAGTTAAACACATCAAATCCGTTAACAGTACTTGGGTTAGTTATTTATTTCTATTTATGTTTTATAACAAATACTGTTATACATAACATTAAAGTACTGATGAAATTGATGATATTGACTCAAATACTATTTCGTGAAATATTTTCTTTTTTAATGAATTTAAATACATTTGAATTGACGGATTCACATGAGTTTCTTAATTTAGTTAATTAATTTTTGTTACAGCTGAATACTGTATGGGTATCCTGCGCTGGTGAAGATCCTCATGATAACGAAAGTATCGGTGAACTAAACTATTATCCTGAAAGTCAAGGATTTCCAGGGTATTATTATCCCTATCAAAATATCCCTGGTTACTTAAGTCCCGTTGTTGCCGTACATTTTCTTCGACCAGCAAGTAAGTCAATTTCAATTTTATGAACATTAACATTATTTTACAAAGAATATTTAACTCAATAATCGTTAGAATCTAAATTCTGAAATAGAAGACTCATAATGGTCTTCAGGTGTGTTATACTGATAGTATAGGACGCACAAAGTGCATTAAAAATTAACAAAATATTACACTATTTGCCCTTTTTAATTAGAAATATCTAATGAAAGATACCAATGTATTTAGTAATTAGAAATAACTTTTGTGCTTAAAAATTCTCATCTGTGCTATGCTATACGGGAATTTACCCAATTCGCAAATCATACTGTATTATAAGATGTTATTATAAATGGGATACCTGAATGCATGTACATACAGTATACAGTATCGAGCAAAGTAGGCTTCCTCAGCTTTAAGTTACGTGATCAACTGTAGCGTCTACAGGACCCCATTGTATACTCCGACATCCCACTGCTCCCTGCAAACGTCCCGAGGAGAATGACGATCGCAGAGACCCACGCACATATGTATAGGCTTGTGACTCCCCACCATTTGCGCATAACCGTTCACGCGGGAAAATTTGAATCAATATTTATTTTATTATTCATATTTCGTAATTATATACTAAATTTTATAGTCTTTAACAATTACAAATTATATTATCTTTTTTTCTAAATCACTTTTAATATTAATATTGCTAAACTCAAAATATTAAGAATTCCTGTTTCCTCTATAATGCCATTTTTCCTAAGGAAGCTTACTTTGTTTGATACTGTACTTATCTGTATAGACTAAAAAAATAATATTAGAAAAATTGAAAAATAGAAATAAAAAAGGCTGCAAGTGCTATTTAACAAAAAAATCATAAAACGAATGTTTACATGAAAATTAATATCAGTAAATATGGGTGAAAAGTGTTAATTATAATTATTTGTATAGTTTTATACTAAATATAAAACAAAAACAAAAGCAACATTTTGATAAACAAAAGATTGTTTTCTTCAGAAATGCAGTTTTAGCATTTACAGCCTTATTTATTTTCACTCTCCGATTTCAAAATCTACTAACTTTTGCTTACCAATTACAAAGTAAGATGTATAATCTTATAAATTAATAATAACTATTGTACCTAACCTGCATATAATACAATGGACAATTTTTTCCGTTTGCTTTCCCAGGGAATCGGATAATCAACGTGCAGTGTCGAGCTTGGGCGAAAAACATAAAATACACTCCATCAAAAGGCAAGAGAAGCGGTGGTGTGGTTCACTTTGAACTAATGATTGACGAATGACAATTGTCGTGTGTCGCCAACAAAAGATGTTTTGTCTCTTGACAAAAAGATCTTATAGAAAGACGCTCACTCGGCGTAAAGAGGAACTAGCCGACAAAAGCAAAAGCCGACGGGTTGAATTTTTGAAAACAGTTGATGGCCAAGGAATAGTTAATTCCTGCTCAGGTGAAATTCAGATACTAGTAATCGCTAGTATTTAGGCAACAATATGTGACGTGAGTATACATATGTATAGCATTAAAAAAATCACTACTATTTGAGGTCCATTTGAATCCATACATCTGTTTTTCGTTCACGCTTATCAAGTTATTGGCGGATACTGCTATAAAAATAAAATCATTATCGATCGTTTCACTTATCATGATTTTTTAAAGCTAGAATAGATAAAGCATTACATCATTACAAGGAAGTAATTCATTTCACATTTCAAATAACAAAATTCAGCTACTGGTACTTATCTTATACAGATTAACTTTTTGATGCAATTTTAAAGCAAACTTTTAATCTTTTTTGTAATCTAAATTTTGTACAATGCATATTATTATAGTAAAAATCAGGAGATGAAAAGAAAAGGAGTAGTATCAGTTTTGTTCATTATCTTGTGATTTACAGTGATAAATAGATGTAAAGAAATATACATAATATTACCTCGTTATCTTTATTTATATTGGTTCATCAACCTAGATATAGCATACACTGCAACGAAATAATTTTTAAGTGTTTTAACTATGATGAGCAAAGAATAAACTGAAATTGTTCTTTTGTAAATTTGTTCTATTGTAAATTTAATTGTTAATTATGTAAACACTTAGCAGATTTTTCAAATAACAAATATAAGAACAAAAGTAAAAGCATTCATATTGTATGAATCTCTCTCAATAATGTTTTCATTAAATTCAAACAACTTCAGATGCATATTATTATATTTTAAGAAAATATTATTTCTCTTTCATGTCTTAAAAAAATAATTGCTCTGATATAATGAAGTCAAAATTCATTTAAGTTAAAGTTGTTTGAAGTTGCAGCATTAAACATCGCCAATTATTTTAAGAGTTATACTTAGATATAGGTACTTATTAAATGTATGTACTTATGTCGTTTATAGTGTTCCCATAAGAGATTGTTTAACAGCATTTTGTGCTGATAATAATAACGATGTATCCTGTTGTATAAATAAAAACAGTTTTTAAATGTGAATAAATTTTGTAGATAATGACTATGTATAAATAGGATAAAGAATTGTAAAAGATGGCGAATTATATTACCCAAATATAACCCAAAGGAAAGTCATTTACTTTAATTCCATTTCAATAACTATAAAGTTCATCATTTTAATTATAGGGCCAATATGAATAACACTAAGTATAATTTATTAGATGTAAGATACAATTATAATGATGCACAATTTTCTAAACAGGTTGTATACACTCAAGGTACTTTAGAAATAATACAATGAGTGTTTCATCTTCTGTAAAACGATGATTTATTGTTAGCACACAGGTAAAGTATTTCTAAAACAGGAAACTGACTTTAGACTTCCATTACATTTATCGTATTACGTACATAATTACGTTTTCACAATTTTAAATGTATCCTAATAGCTATAAGTCATACATCATTACAATATATTTTCAAATACACAATGACACATTAGAATTTTGTGTGATCATTTTATAAATATACACACAAATTTTCTAAATATATTTACAAATATGTATAAATGACACTCTAAAAATAGAAGAATTCATACAATGCTTTATTGCAATTGAAGTATGCAAAAAGGTTTTTAAAAATTATATGAGATTTTGAAAAAACTTCAAGACAGTCAGTTTCTTGATCAAATTATAATCTTTAATTTAATTCTATCAGTGTATGTCAATAATCTCTTCAATTTTTATTCTTTTTTTTATAACAATAACACTTTATTACCCGTTTTGATAATGAAAGATAAATGCAGTAATAAATTAAAAGAATTGCAACAATTTAAAAAAAAACATCAACTTTTCTACATCGATTTATAATGTTTTATTTCATGAAAGTACTGAATTTCATTAAAGTGAAACTAAGATTAAATATGTAATTTTGCTATAATATGATCGCGTCTAAATAATTCCTTTAAACGAATATGCTTTTCGAATAATTTTCTAAACGTTTTAAATTAAATGTAATAGAAATAGACGATGACCATCTGTTATTTAAAATCTTATCTATAAAAATACATGTATACACATATGATACGTTTACATACTTATCTTTGTCACGTTTAAGAGATCTATTTTTTTTTTTAAATAAGCATTAGTACACATGAATTTTCACGATAAAAATGTTGATAACTATCTTCTAAGCAGAGAGTTATCTGTACTCAATCTTCTAATAATCAGATTTATGTAAGGCACGTTTAAAATTGTTGTTACTTTCTTAAATATTAAAATCAGATCTTTAATTACATTAAGGTTTGTCAATAATTGATACTGATTTTAAGTAAAAAATATTCATATTGTCTAAAACAAATTTAATAGAACAAATAAAAATTTTAAGTGATTCAACAATAGAACCGAAAACATGGTACATAAGCTGTCCATTACATTTAATTATAACACCGAGAAAAAGAGATACATCTAATATTTATTGTTAACATTTACCATATGAGTATCATTCAATTACCATTTATCGTTAGAATATATTCATACAATAAATATATTTGCTTTTTGTGTTAAGTTGAACAAAATTATTCCCAATAAAGTTATATGAATATATTTGAAACTGTAGAATAATAATGTAATCTATATATATTTTGGGGCCTAGAAATTGATATAGATTTGATTTTTGATCATAGCAATATCAAAAATCCTTTTAGCTTTGTACTCGATAAAAGTTTCATCCACTTTGGCAGCGGTTACCTTTTTCTGACGGCTTCAAAAGCGTCCAGCTGTGTTGAAAAGTCAGAAAACATGAGATTCTCATCCAGTTTCTGTATATTAACAAAGAGGCCAGGACAGTTATGCAAACAACGTTAATCTATCATCAACTCGAAATGGACTGCACCTAATTTCTCGTGACGTTTATGTTTTATATTTTTCGCCCACGCTTTGCATTCTACGTTTATTAAAATGCCAGCTGTAAACAGATATTTCATTAATTTATTTTGTAAAATATTATTTAAAGAAAAAAAATAATTGAAATCAATGTTAACACATTATTTGCCACAGTGAAAATGTACATACGTATATATCTATTAAAAATACAATCATTTTTTTAGGAAGCCTCCATGCTCGGTACTGTACCTTACAATTTTCAGGTGGCAGCGAACGTGTCACTAATGATCCTCATAACAATTAACATGTTAAATTTATTTCTTGATACTTACTACGAGGTCGAACAAAGTGAACAGCTACCAATGGACTGAGATAACCCTCAGAATTTTCAAATGGATAAAAGTAACCTGGGAAACCTCTTCGTGGGATATAATGAATTGGTCCTATATTTTCTTGATCTGCTGGACTCTCTCCTTCACAAGATACCCAAACTGTATTGAGTTGTAAAGAATTGTTCGCTTTCAAACTGGCAATATGCTCCTTGAGATCCAATGGCATATTTTCTGGTAATGATTCTGTATCATTGTAAAAGTCTGGTCTCCAGGCATATATCTAAAACCGTTAATTCATTAAATTTAAAATATGAATGTATGGCAGTATTACAACGAACTCCTCATATTAAATAATATTGTCTTCTTTGCTTCTTAATCTTGTTAAGAAGGTAAATATACCTTATTCAGCTTAAGAAATATACATGGAGCGGATTTATGGTAATTGTATTGGTTCTCTTTAGTACAAGGATTCCAGTTCTTAACGTCAACGTCGCAGACCTTACCAGGAGGAGGGGGTTGATTGTAGTCGCACTTATTAATGTTTGCACCAAGACCAGGAACCGAGCCTGGTGTTATATAGTCTGAAAAATTATCGATCGGTAATATAATAGTCTATACTCCATAATGCTTATGCTTATCACTCAAGAATTCTATGAAGATTAAATTTCCTTCTATCAAATATTGGCATTCGTTTGTGCATTAAGTTAAAAGTAAAGAGAAGAGGAATAAGAACATATTAGAAATGATTGTGAAGTTATTTTAACTAAATATTGAATTCTAAATATTATAGGTACTTATTTCTTCAAAAATCTCCTTCATCAATAAGAAATAGATAGTTTAATTAAACTGAAAATTCTTTAGATATTTTAATATAAGATAAACTATACAATGATTACCAAATTACCAATTTTAAATATTACCTTTTAGAAATGCCTGCAAAGAATCAACCCAGTATTTATAGTTTTCACTGTCTGTTCCTCTGTACCAAATCAATGTGCTTTCCACATTTTCTAATGGTGGTTGTGGCCTGAATCCTAATCCTGTGAATGACATATTTAATGCTGAACATTTTAAATCTCATTGCTGGGATGTAAACAATCTTTAACATGAAATTAAAATCAATGTTCCCTTAATTAAGACAGAAATTATTTAATTGATTTTCAATTAATAAGAGGTAACTTCAAAAGGCCTATCAATAAGTTTCTGGTCCATAAGATATTAGATAATGTCTTGTAGAAGTCTTATTTATTTTTATCGTCATTTTATTGAGAATATTTTACCAGGATTTGTTCCGATTATCGAACGCTCTAACTGCCACCTCGGTATCCTTGGATCCAATGTTTGAAAGAAGCCCCAGAAGCAAATTGCAACCAATGCAGCCAGTACTCCATAGAATATCAAATAGAACAATCCTATTTTACCTGTAAAAGAAAATTTAATTAGCTTACTGATCTAATTAAACATCGGTCATACAATAAAATCTTGTTATTTTTTTTCATAATTCATGTATATACATACGTACATTACTGAATTATTTTCGCTAAATTTCATTGAAAATTTCTTTCTGAGTACGTTAATGGCTGATCACCCACGCGATATCGCATGCACCACTTTTAATACTTGGCCATTGTAGTATACCTATTAACATTCTGATTGTCGCAGTGGTGATGGACATATAAAAAATTTTAATTTTTAAATTTAACCTTGTATTAGAGCCTGTCTTCTTTTTTACTTTACTAATTTTTCAATTATACAACAATTCAGGCGTAGTCAGTGTGTTAATGGCACCATTGCTTAAGTATTTCAACTTGTTGATTGGAGAAGACGAGTTGACTCACCCGGGTGAAAGATACATGGAATAACACAATTACTGAAAGATTCTATCTTTTAATAGTATTATGCTTATATTAGCAAGAAAATATGTACACCCGGTTGCGAATTCGACTTCTCTTGGAAGAGGAATAGAGAGAGAAGTCTCCTATTATTTACTTTTATTCTTCGGAGAATTCTACACAGTCAGTGGTGGAATAGTTCATAACTTTTTTCTTATTACTTATTAATGGGTTTGATTTGATGCATGTGAGATATTTTACGATCGCAATTAGCAACAGGAACGAACTCAATCGTGGTACATCCGAGTCTCGTTTTCTATATTTCCGTTTCCAATTCATACATTTCCGTTTCGTTTTACAGTTTCACATCAGTGATCGTTGTTCACATTCGTGTAAGGAATACTACATATAAATCAAATTCATTAACGTGATTTATATTTACTTAGTACATTATCAGCATTAATTGTGATTGTTTTACACGCTCGGCTAAAGAATGTCCGAATCAGCGATACGTGCCGAATGATGCCCACTGTGAGTTGACCAAATTGGGTAATTGTCCAAATACTATTTACCACCATTACCACCAGTCACCATTTTCGATTTTTATCATAATCGAATATTTTGAAAAGTACTACTTGAAAAAGGTGAAATATAATTAAAAATGGTGTTGCAAACACTTCTAAACATTTTTAATATCATATGAAAACTAGACCCAAATCTAAAACTAAACTCTCGTGAAAGAGATGCAGCCAGTTCTTATATTTTACAAGATTTTGTAAAGAAATAAACTCAGATTATATTTAGTGAATAAATAAATATTAATTTATTATGAAATAAGAATCTTATTTTATAAATAAGGAGTTAACATTTGTGGCCACATCAAAGAAATATAGTCGGGAGGTCACTTCGACGAAGAGCGGAATTGGAGAAGCGACCTTGCCAGACATTGAATCGGTACGTAATTGAATTGTTCCACTTGACCAGACGCTTGGATATCTTTGAATTGAGCCAACGATTAATGCAATTAACCTATATTACACGGCATACCACCACGCGCCGATTAATTCCATTAGACCTAACCCAGACCTCAGTGGATTATAAAAATCATTGTGATTTGCTCAGATTTTATCTGCAATTTAAAGCATTTCCTTACGTGTATGCATTTATACATTTATCAATTATTTTATGCAAGGTGATTATGATAATTGGATCAGGCTTTAACTTTGTTCCAAGTAAAGTTAGGAACAAAATTTGGTAATTTTATATTATTTAACATCTACTTTTATTTATCAATTTCTTTAAATTAATGAATCCATTATTTATGTTTGTTTGTTTCTACTGCGATTCATTTGTGGGATCATCAAGAAAGACGATAAGCGGAATCTTGACAGTTGTTAACCACTGTATTATATTACCGATGTTCTTTCGCGTAATACGATATATTCCTTATATCACGAGGACTTCGCGAAAGGACAACTATACCCGTTCATATTATAAAAAAGCAAGACATACTAATCTCTGTATAAAATTAGAATAAGTAAACAGTATAAGAAGTAAACAGTCTTTTAACATGTTTCTTTCCCAATTCGAAGTGCTAAATAATATTTACGCGAGTATATTTAGTTTTTTTTAAATTTGTGAATATTTGTATTGATTTTAGAGTCAAAAAATCATATAGTAATTCGTCTAAAGAATTTTGGCATAGACTTCTTCTTGTACCTTACTTTTTTCGCTAAGGATGACTAACAGTAATGTACACTGACTGTAGTCACTGCGTCTTGTGCCAATCTCAAATACGAAAACCTACAACAGAGACTACTGATTTATATCGTATTTTTGGTAAGAATACTATGCCCATATTCATAATGCAAAGATGGTTGCTAACATTCCGGCCAAAGGATTTTAACCTTGAAGATGAACCACACCGGGAGATCAATTGTTATAATGATAAGGCTGTTAGGGTTAAATTGGAAGAAAATCCTTGAAGAGGTTCGCAGAAGAATTTAGCACAGTACAGTCTACAAATAGTAGATGGAGCCTATTCATCTACTTGGATTCATCTTAAAACTCTCTAGACGTGTATTTCATGATTTTATGTATAGTTTAATAATAATTCATACTCGTTACTTTTTCAAGTAATTATCCAGAATAGATAGAACCAATATGAGAAAATAATTTAATTATTTAAAAAATGCCACCGGTGTTTATATTATAGTATTTTAATAATGTGTAGGGCCCCCTTTGTTCGTAATAAGTTCAAAAATGCGATTTGACATGCTTTCAATTTTTTCCGCGATTCTTCTTGTATCTCTGGAGGTCAACTGATCCTTCTGACCCCTTAATTGCACTCTACTTGTAAGAATTACTGATATTAATTAAAGAAACTTAATGAAAAAAATATCTTAAATAGTGACTAATAGGAAAGGAATTGTATGCCACCATGACAACGGCCGACCCCATGCATTGTTAGACATAAGTTCAGTGAACTGGGGTGGAAAGCAATAAGTCATTCCCCATATAGTTCGCACCGTGTGATTACCACCTGCTTAGATCGTTACAAACCCTTTGGTTAGGAGAAAAGTTTAGTAATGAACAAAGAAAATTCAATTCTCCCTACACTACAAGCGCAATACTCCCACTTGCCCCTGAACCACCCTGCAAGACTTCTTATGAGCGGACAGTACATAATTATAATATAGCTATTGCTGTAAAAGAATAATCAATTTGTTTTAGCAACTAACTGAATTCCAGTTCATTGTATTAAACTCCTATGATTTTTAATATTAACTAGCAAAATTACTACTAACATTGTTCTTTGAATATACATTAATATACACAAATTACTAAAATTCATTTCTATCTTCAAGCTGAAAACAAAACCTGTTGCATGTAGACTTTAAAATGAATTTTAGAGATTTTCAGGAGAACGATGTTGAACGAAAGCTATGGTCGCGTGGGTGTACCCTTCGGAATGGCCCTAAGTTACATAATGCCGTAATGCCTCCATTTAACGCCAATTGACCTCGTTGTACACGTTTGCGCTAAAGGAAGTTTAACAATTGCCATTCAGCCGGGCAAACGTTGTGTGCGCCGCGAATTAGCCGCGCATCGCGCTTCCGTCTTTTTCTCTCCCTTCCTTTATTTTTTTTTTTCAACATTGTCCTTATTTGATTGCTTTATTTCAGAACAGGTGTGCGGAGGATATGTTCGTGTACGTAATCACTGATCACCTATTCATTACGTTACATTTGTTTTGTTGTAATTTAACCTTCGGACGGCGGACCATGGAAAATTTATCTTCTAAATTTTTTCAATTTAGTAAATGAAAATAATATGAAATACAAAATTAAATTAAAATTGTGGCTCTCTCCATAGCCCGCCGTCCGAGAGTTAATTAAGAGGAAGTGTAGGAAAACGAATGTCTAGGTTAAGTTTTCCCAAGAGTCTCCCAAGGTTATCCAAAATAAAAAGTAATTGATTTAATTAGATGGAAATATAAATGACACGAATAATTTTGCATCCCTCTATCGCTAACACGCGTGCATGTAGTACAATATAATATTTCTGATAATTCAATGCAAAAGTAGTTACTTGGAAATAAACAAAAACAATGCGAGAAAAGAGTTAACAAAATAAATGAATTTAAAATATTAAACCAATTACAGTAACTAACGTTACATCTAAACCTTTGAACTGAACTTGGTCGACTAACCAAAGTTGCCTAATGTAATTGCCGCTTAAGGGTACGCGTGGTTCCCTCGTTAGATAAATTAAAATAGATACGTAAATATTTGTAAACGAACATCAATACCTCTTAATGCATCAATAGATCGATATAGATACGTTACGAAGGCTAAACAACTGAGGCATAATAGAAGGGTAACAGTATCAAGGTGAATACCGAGGTAAGGATAAATCGTGGGACAGAATTGAACAGTGAATGCAATTTACGAGAAACTGCAAAACAACGACAGGCTTCTGAGCTAATTAACTGAAAGAAAAGGTAATCCCGTAATTCTGTCAATACCTCTAAAGTTTTTGTAGGTTTTCTATTTACTATTGAAGTAGTCATTGTCAACAGATTGCCTCGTGGATTAATTTTTGTGAAGAATAAACATGGCTGACGGGGCCCATCTAAAAGCGCGCTAATTTTAAAAGTGACTTTCTGTTTTACGCAATTCACGTACATTAGTTAAAATAAATGCTTAAGAGAAGATTTTTTACAAAATTTTTTATATTTTTAAATGTTTGAAATATTAATTAATATCAGCAATTGAGAAAGATATATCTATTGCATTCGTGACATTGTTGTGTAAATGAACAAGGAGAATAATCATTTCAGTTAGCAAATATGTTTAAACAGGATACAAATATACGTGTTCTCTTGCAACTAAACAACTTATTCGAGTGAATGAGATAATTTTCTAGTAGGAGATGGTGGACGAACAATTTCAACTACAATTGCTTTGTTAACAGTTAAATTTACACGTTATATCATGTTATTATCTTATATTGTCTCTTTTTTTATGCTGTTATTATCATAACATGTTGCTTTTCTTAAAAGAGAATAAATATATTTATTAATTAATTAACAGTACAAGTAATACTCAATTAATATTTTTACTCTCTCTCCTTTTAGTACGAAATATAAATAGTACACATATATTATTAAATTTTGTTTAAACTTATTTAAGCATTTCAATATTAGGCACGTGTACGATAAACACTATTTCAGTTTCGACACAATATTGCGTTAATTGATATACACTTACTATACTTCAACTTTCACTTTGTATCAGGAAATACGAAACAATCCAAAGTATTACAATAACAAAAATAGAGACTTGTTCAGCCATATATAAATATTTGTAAGTTATAAAAAACCTGAGTCACAAATTCTTAGTCTCGCGCATGCGCATTAAAATTCATCGAAATATATCAAAGATCAAGACGCTCACGTTGCAGGTACACGACGGGCGCGTTATCAAAACAATAACATAAATGAAAGAAATATACACAATCAATATTACGAATGTAGTAGAAAAACAAACAAACTACTGTAGAAAATCAATTATATCGATTTAGGAGTTTGCATTTAGTGGAAATATCAAAACAGCGCGTACAAGGCAGCCAGAACCGAAAGAAAACGCCCAACGTGAATACCGTTCCGTTTTTATCAATCGTGTCGCAATAATAACATAACTTACCCCAGCTACTGGCTGTTCTGCCCAAGACGGCACCAGTTTCACCATTGTAAATAAAAGTCTTTAAAGACTGACTCGTTGACATGCTGGGTGGTTTAAGATAGGGGTTTGCCATCTCCGCGGTGACCAACTTCGGATCCTTGCTGACCATCGCGACGCCAGGTGTAATGACTTTTTTCGATGGAATTTATGCACTTATCACGTATCGCTCGAATTTTAAATATACAGTGGAAACGCACGAAAACAATCCAGGATAAACGTGGAACAACGCGACCGACGGCAGTGCAGGTTCGCTGCACCGAAACCGTGAGTTCCTCGAGGTCGGCTGGCAGCTTCTCCGCTGCCGACAGTTGGTTGTTCAGCGCCACCAGGTTGACTAAACACGCTTCGTCCGTGCAGGCTTCTTCTCCGTCTCGTTTCGTTCTAGTATTTTCTTGCCACTTTCTCTTTCCCTCTTTGCCCCACCTTTAACCCCCACCCCAATCCCATCACCGTCCATTGCCATGACGTGTCGACCGTGCACGTGCACGGAATTGTCATTGTGGTTGTTACCCATCAACGTGAATGTGTTGGGTTCATGGTGCCGATGTGTACGAGAAAAACTGATTGATCTCATAGGAACTTTCCTTTCCATTTTAATTCCTTAGACACTTTTTTTTAGATCCTTGTTGTACGACTTAATGTTCAGCAATTCTTGAATGCTTTGCATTTTCAAACTGACATATATTATGGTGGTTAGATGTTTATTAATGTTCTCTCATATGCCACGCCTATTACCAAGCTCTTTGTGCTTGTCGTATTCAGAGCCTGTTAGATTGAACAGGTTTTTGGCTGTTAGAACCGACGTACGCGAAGAGTTCAATGCTTGGTAGTATGATGCGTTGGAGTTGTAGGTATGAATGTATAAATATTTCCGTTCTTATAGTTTAAACCACGATTATAGCTAATTTGCTTGTATGAAGTTCTTTTTTGTTAGAACCAGAAACGTAATAAAATAAAACAAAGGACAACTGAAATAGATTTTATGAAACTGCTGAGGATGCTGCGTTATTAATATTCATAAATGCCTACAAATTATAATAATACGTTCTATTTATTGTAAAAATCATGTAATAGTGAATTATTAATACTTTGTACGAGTCTGTGAATTAACGTATTTTTGCAGGTTAGAAATATACGTTATTACGTTTCACACAACTTAACATGACAGGTTACACTTAAAAACATGTGTTTCCATTAGTATTCAAAAGCTTGTTCATGATAGTATATTTATATATATCAAGCACATCGTAAAATTAAAATTTCATGAAGTTTATATCAAAAATAGCATCATGTATTTCTTTCTTACACCAAAATTGGCGCAGGATTTATAGCGAGAGTAATCAAAAGTTCAGTGGCGCGCTCTATTGTCCGCATTTCAGACTTAATGCAACTAAGCTCCGAGAACAGGTGGTTCCGTGCAGATTATGCCCTTGCTAGTCCACTTATGATTATTGCTTGACATAAGTAATACCATTTTGCAGCTTAAGTGTAGCTTTCCTGTTAAATTGTCATAAATACTTCAAACACTATTTAAGAAATAAATTATACTATATAAAGAGTACCAAACAATAAATTAACAAAAAACAAGTATTAGTATAATGAGACTAACAATATTGAATTAAGTACAGGCAAACGTAATATTGAATTAGGTACACAGGATATCCTACGCAACTGGGTTAAGCCATGTTGACAGTTTCGTTAAAAATAATAAACTGTTGATTTCTTAACATTATATCTTGATACCTATTTACGCAGAATACTTAGATTAGATGATACTAAGTTCAAAATATTAAAATAATGGCGAGCATATTACAGGAAAGATCCTATTATACGTTTCCAAGGATTATGATAATATTTCATAGAAACGATTATATTATAATAAGTGATGTTAATGTACTTGTAGGACATAGTCATTGGATAGGATCGTGATGAAGAAGGCTGTGAAAACGATTTCCTCGACTTGATAGCCGAGAAACAAATTGGGGGCTAAGGTCAAAACGCGTGTGTGTGACCTTAGTGCTTGGAGGCGACTCGTGTGTGCGATTCACAGCACTGTACTATTGGTAGTTACCTCCTCTCTCTTTTCGTCACTTTGAGATGAGTCGCGTACATGCATATAATGTGAGTCACATACGACGACCGATCTGAATTAACCACATCCTGTTCACTATGTCGTGTGACATTAATGTCATTGCCGCGTGTCGTCCGACTGAGAGGACCGGACTAAATAGACGGAAGAACCGTCTTAAATGTCTGGACCACGGACGACGAATTTCTTTTAAAACCTGAATCAAAATGAAGCATCTTTAAATCGTATGATTTATTGACCAGTTTCTCGATAATGTTGATTATTTAAAATTTCCTATGAAATTTAGAGCAATTTAGAGCAATTAAATCTTATTACATTAAGTAATTTCTTAATAATTATTATTTCCATTCCAAAATTCTATAAAATTATTATTACTATAAAAACTGTTGCAAGATCTAATAACAGTTAATAATTTGTTAACAAATTAAAAAGAAATAATTGTGGTTAATCAAAATTCATATTTTTATATTACATTCAGAAGGAGATATATTGATATGCATGCATAATAGTTTGTACAGTACCGGGAATGGTGGGCTTTCCCACTGGAAATGACGATATAGGGTAGGAAGCCCTCTTACACTCTATAATTCTCAAAGTCCTAAATCTGAAGATATTAATATTTTAATGGCTGCTATTACGTATTAGTACTCTTCTGTGATAGCAGTTATTAGCTGCAACTTAGAAATAAGTACTTTTATAGATAAAATAAAATTATAAAGTTCGTCCGTTCATAGATTACTTTAGAAAAAAATGTATATGACTTTAATTATTGAATATTATACAATTTAATATTTAAACTAGAAAAATATTAAATACATACATATATATCTGGTGGGTTTGTTTTCTCTACAGTACAATTTTCCGTACGGCAACCTACCATGCCTGGTACTGTACATGTAGATAATGTAGACTATAACTTATGGAACTTATTAACATATGTAATATACAGTTGTTCAAGATTCTCTATCTTATTTTAAGTAATTATGAATTATTTTTTTTTATTAACATAAAATCTGTCCAGTAAAAAGTTAAGTCTATTCGTTCGTCGGTAAGGATACACAAATTTAGTTTCTCGTTTTTTCTGTAGGGCGCAGTTCATTCGTTTAGTATTGTAGCGCCTCAACCGAGTCACCACCCACATAGTTCGTAGGCAGTGTTGCCAACCATTGTCTACACGCCATAGACAGTTGGCAGCTTTGTGAATAGATAGCGTCTAGATGGTATTCAGACTGAAGCGCAAAAATGAATAAAAACGTATTTTTGTTTAACACGTGTGATTTTTAAACCGACCTGGATAATTTCATCCCGCGCGATTCACGCGAAATAATATATGTGAGTGCTCCCTAACGGAGAGACTTTGTAGGCCCTCACAGTATGCTCGACAGCGCAATCATTCGCAGCTCGTGTATGTGATTAAATTGTTTATTAGGTATCAAAAATACAAGAAACAGAAGACAAAGTTGAAGAGAAGACCGGAGTCATCATGACTTCTGACATCATTTGCATATTGTCCTCAGAAATGCGTAAGCTGAAAATTTATACCCTATTTTGTCGATACAGATACGAATTAAAATAACATATTTCTCATTTATTCTGCTTTTATGGTGATAATTTATTAAATACCATTAATATCTTATGTATTTTTCTATCTTTTTTCTTATATTTCGGTGCTTTAAAGTGAAAAAAGTAATCTTGATCATATTTCAATATGGCGTTGATAATTTTCAACGAATTTTTCCATGCTTTTAATGTTAAAGTTTCAAAGCAATTCGAAGTTTCTACCAATGCCTGTGATTGGTCATCCATTATGGCGTCCTTCTATTTGGACCAATCAGATTCATCGTTAAAGGGTGCGTTGCGCGGAGTGTGGTGGAGTGCAACAGTCCTCTTCGAAGCTTCGTCTGTTTGGCACGTGTCTGCAACAGGTAAGATTAAATTATCTTCAAATATTAAATTAAATTGCCGATCGGGTGTTAACAGTACAAAAAACAGAAAGAAACATCGAAGAGAAGTCTGAATTCTTGATCTTTGACATTAATTCGGCGTTTTCTTCAAAAATACGTGAGTTGAAAATTTTTGCTCTCGCCGCGAATGCACAATAAGAGTAGAACAGCAGAATCTGAATTATTTTCTCTTTTATATCGTTAAGATCCTAAACATTATTGAATGTTTTTAGTACTGCTTTACACAATTTGCTGTTTTTAATTTAATAACGTTCTTTCTTGAGCATCGTAATATTATTCCTGTTTAGACCTGTTCGTGTACTTGCTTAGGTATCGGCCGGTAGCGGAATATACCGAAGAATGCCGAAGCGGTACCGACCGGTTTTCGTCGGGAAGGAAGGTCTCGCCATTTCTCTCGCGAACGTCGAAGTGACAAGACGCGTTGAGAGCATCCTTCCGCATAAGTAATAGGTACACATTGTATCTATTAAAATATTTTGCATCAATTATAGTTCGATCGTTTATTAATAATAACTTTATCATTGTTGATTAAATTTTATTTACATAAATTTGTATTTCTTATTTGTTACAGATATTTTCTTGATACTGAAAAGATGTCATGCGATACGATGCTACGATACTTGATATTGGTAATATTTTATAAAATTCAAATTCATCTATAATTTTATAAAAATAAAGGTTGATAATTTTCATAATTAACCATAATTCTTTTTTGTTCTGTTACAGATGAATTTCTCAATTTTGCCGAGTTCCTGAACACCCTGATGACTGGGCCGATGATTTCCTTCACGACTTCCGTCTTCTCCTATAAGGCAACCTTCTACCTAGTTGTTGTGCAGCCTCCTATCTGGTTGTTGAGCATCCTTCTACTTGACTGTCGGAAGAAGAGTATATCTGCGAACGGTGAGTCGCATGTTTTATGGTTCCTCTGGTGCCCAATCATGTCGTAGGACGAATGGTCCGAATCGACACGGGTTACTGGTTGTATATGTGGTTGGCGAGTATAGTGACCATGGGTATGATTATACCCATGAGTAGTAATATTTTTATTGTGTTTCATTTCATTTAGTTCAGGCTAGGTTTTCTTGTACTCCGCGTTTTAATATCATTTCAATTCCACATATTCCAATAGATATTTTTGAAATATATGAATGCTCTTAAATGTTTTTAAATGTGAAATATGAAATATTTTAATACCGAAACAATTTTATTTAGTTTGTCTGACTTAGTTATTGCGAAGGTTCAAAGCAATATAATATTGATAATGTTATGTAATATGTATACTGGATATACATATTAATGATGCTATTACATTGAT